CATATAACGCACATTCATATAATATAATTTCAAAATATATATATATATAAATATCTAATGATGAGAACAAGCCTCTTCTTAAGAACATCGGCCATTATCCTTTAATGAACAACATGTCCGTCTTACGTCGACTTAACCTATATTAAAATCCTTAATTTAAATAAATTCACGACGAGGATTAAAATGTTTTTAAGGGGCAGGAAACGAATGATTATTGCCGAAAAGACCGTTGATCACCACGAAAATCCTCACGTAACACGTTAAGATTTTTCTCGAGTAATTAACCAGCGCAATTCGACTCGTAAACGCTTCCTTTACTGCCCCAAGAATAAACTTTTTGTTTACGGCTACGATATAATTGCATCGGCGAAACTTCGAACAGTTTTGGCCGACGAAACGTGCCGCCAACGATAAAATATCGTTTCCACGAGACTTTTACTGTCACCAGTTTTCGAGTTGTTATAAATTATAAAATCGCGTTATTCACGCTCTCTCGAACGTGATACTTGATGCCTTCTTTTTCTTCTTTTGGAAGGCTTTTGACGAAAAGGATATTAATTAAATGTAATCTGTTTAATTGAATATAAAGAAAATCTTTATGTACTTTTTTTAATTTTTGACAAAAAAGAAAATGTGGAAAAGTTATTTCTATTTGTTTCTTCATATTGTGAAGATGTTTTTTTTTATGTTCATTATTGTAACGCTTGTAACGCATTGTAACGCTTCAAAAATTTAATATAAATTTTTGTACACTTAATTTAGAAGATTAAAGATATATCATTTTTATTATTAAAAAATAATTTATGATTTTTATATTTTTCTTTTACCCTTATCCTTATATTTATCTTTTATCTTAATGATATGTGTATAATTATCGATAAATTTTCATGTACTCTGTAAAAAAAAAAGCTGTTTTTATTGAAATAAATTATAAAAAAGAAAAGATATCGTGAAATTGAAATATATTGCAATAAAATTTAATGAGAAAATTCAAAAATTTTTTAAAAAATAAATATAGAATAAAAAATTTTAACGACGTTAACTAACATAACTAAAAATTAATTAATAATTAGAAATATTTGCAATTTTTTTTAAAAATAATATACATTTTTATTTAAACTTATCCTTTTTTTATTAATTTGAGAAATATTTTTCTGCAATATTTGCAACAATCTTTATTTTTCATTCAACATTTATTACATTATCAACATTATACAACCGACATTAAGCTAAAAATGTTTCTTTTCTTCATTTCTTTTCATAATTTCCACCATATCCATTTGTTTCCAAGACTGAAAGCTGTCGTTTTCTTTATCAAAAGGATAGGACTCTACAAATGTTTCTTTCTAGAAGAAAAGAAGTCATGGAAGGAAATAGATTCAGGAAGTAAAGAACTATCTTATTTCTTGTTTGACTTTCTTTCTTTATGAATCTTCTTCTCCGTTTTTCTCTCACATTTTTTTCTCTTTTTCAGTATATTAAAACGACACAAATATTTCATTCTTGTCAAATTTCACTTGCTTATAATTGCATTATAATGTAATTCATTTTTGGCATAATTATAAAAATTAATATCACTCCTTAACTATTTGATTTTTACATTTTATATCCTTTTATATTAATATTAATATAAATATATTTTGAATGATAAAATCGAATGATAAAATTTTAGAAAAATTCGTGAAGGATTATACAAATTTGCATAAAACTTAATAAAACTTAATAAATAAAAAGGATATGAATTTGTTCGAAAATTTATCGAATTTTAAAAATTTGTTTCTAATTCGTATAAAAAAAGATTCGTTGGTTGAATCGTTTGATTCGCGAGAGAAAAAAAAAATGTGAAAAGAAATGATCAACATCAAATGGATGAATTTTAAACAGCGGGAAAATTGAAAACGAGTGAATTTGATCCGATATCGAAATAATTCGTAAAATTGTTTGCCCGTTACCTAACGCGTAATGGGAAACACCATTGTGCACGAGAATGACTGCGGTTTAATTGCTCCAAAAAATAAAAACAACACTGTACACGTCACGAACGGACAGATATAGCTAATTCAACTCGTCGCGTTATGGAAATCGCGGCCACAAATTTTAAATATGTAATAGCCGGTTGCCTCAATTAAAGCGGTTTTAACTTTAATTCGATTCCCACTCTCGTTGTCGTCCTATATAATCTGTTGTACGTTTTTCCTTTCCCTTTTAGTTCTCTGACTGATTATTTTCACTACATCACGAATGATAAAGATAAGAATCTTTGTTATTTGCGTTAATTTTAATTTTATTAATAATTTTATTAATAATTAATTTTTCTTATTGCGTTAATATTTCTTGTAAAATGTTTGTATATTTATATCGTTACGATGAAAATTTGGGATCCATAGGGAAGGAAAGGAAAGATTTTCTTTTTGCTTAACCAGAGATCTATCAAATTGAATGAAGACAAGAATCCAAGAATTTAAGAAAAAAATTTTGCTTAAAATTTTATTGTCTTAGAGATGTATTCAGATTAATTTTGAATTCAAATATTCGTCAAATTTAAAATCATTATGTATTTCACAAAATTCAAGAATTTATGAGAATGATCACTTTTAATCTTTAATCAAAGATCTATCTAAATTGAAAGGGATCTTCATCGATACATGCAACATTAATTTTATATAAATTATAGAAATAAAATCAATAAAAATTAAAATTACAAATTACAAATAAAAAAATTTAAATAAAATTGTAACAAAAATTACAAATAAAAATTATTTGAGAATACTGAAAATTCATAGTAGATTCATGTTTGCATTTTTTTTTTTTTTAATTTTTTAATAGTAAGAAAATTGATTTTTAATTCAACTACGAAGATTAGATTTCCAGATTGCAATTTAAATCGTTTGAATTGACGTCCAGGGACTTGGTTTCTTACTATCAGAATGGTGCATATGAAATGTTGTTACAAAGTTTGAAATTAGCATAAGTATCTTTAAATTTCCAAATTCGATCATCAAAAGCTATATATTAAGGGAAAAGAAATTTATCGAACTCAAACGAGCGTTAAATATGCAACAATCTTCATGATACTCGCACAATTTTTTTATGACTTTGAATTTGAAAGATATGAAAGGATAATCGAAACGAAATGAATTTAATATTTGAAAAAGTTTGTGTAAATTAGGACGGAATTTCATGTTGATTTTTCTAGAATTTGTGATGATAATATTTTAATACAGATTATTAAAATTTATGACAACGAGAGAAACAATGTTTTATATGAAATTAATTCAGTTTAGTCATAATTCGACACAATTATGTAAAATAATGAAAATGGAAAATGGATTTCGTGTAAATTAAGAAAAAAGAATCTACAATAAAGATATTCTAACTGTTCTATTATCATAATGAAATAAACAAGGATTAGAATATGAAATTTTATCATGAAAATTTTGTCTTCTTTAACAATATTTAATAATTTGTAAAATTAAAAATTCTTTTTAAAATATATAAATGAATTTATAGTATAAATAATATCATTCGTGGAAATGTTTTAATTATAACAATTGGTAACGTTTATAAGATTTACTTTAAGAGGAAAAAATTTTGTTAGGGATATATAAAATATATTTTGGTTAGGAGATCATACAATTCAGCAGAATTTTCATGATTCAATGATTTAAAATATCGTTCCAATGTATGAAAAATTTTTCTTATATCTCTCAATATTTACATTTGTATTCCGTGGAATATGATTCCGATCAAGTGATAGCAAAAAGTAAACGTTCTTCCTTCCATCAACTGAAAATTTATCTCGAATTTTCTATCTTCAAATGCGGTTCAATTTATTCTGTTTATTATGAATTATATCTTCTCATAATAAATTTAGATAAATAAAAATTAAATATAAATATATATATATATATATATATATAAATGTGTATAACGAGAAATCTTATATTTTCCTTACCCTTTTCAAACTTTTAGTCATCAAAATTCTATTATAAATCTCATTTTTTCTTCGTCGATATTCCACACCCAACCCTAAAATGTCAGAAAATCCTTCGAAAAAATTAATTTAATTTAAATCAAATACCTTGATTCTGAATATTAAGCCACTATAGGCTAATTAAAGCGACATTTCATTTTTTCCAATCATTTTATATTATAGAATTTTATTTACTAATAATATAGTAACTATATATATATATTTTATTTCTTCTTTCACCTAGATTCTATAATATTATAAAGAAACTATAATATTTGTATAAGCTACTTATATCTATTTAATACCTCCATGCTCAAATATGAAATACCTTCGTTCCGTGTTACCAGCATGATTAAATACAAAAATTAAAAAAGAGAAGAAAATTTGATTTTCCAATTAAATATTCCTTCCATCCCATTTTTTTCTATTGTCAAATTCCAACTCGCAAATCGAAACACATAATTTTTACCTTTAACTCTCTTTTAATCACCTTTATTATTTCAATATATCCATTATTTAATTTTCCAAAACACCTGTCACACCTCTCTCTCTCTCGCCAATATTGAAACAGAAATCGAACTATTTTTTCTTGCTTATCCTTCGATCTATTATCAACTATCATTATTAAACGAATGAAAAAGATGATCAATTATCAACTTAGCCTGATCGATCCTCTCTCGCAGAAATCGTTCGAAAGCACATTTTATCGTCGTCCTCCTCTCTTCTCTTTCAAACTCGTCGAATCCTAAATAAAAAACGGCCCACCCTCGGCCGCGATTAACGAAGATAAACCAAGATCACCTCCCATGCACAGCATGGGAAAATAGCAGCAGGATGAAGAAAACGGGGGATCGAATCACCATACCCGATCGGGGCGTGCTGGGCGTACGGAGAATGCGAAAAGAGAGGGTTGAGAAGCCGACCGGGGGGTTGGATTGCACAGCCCCCGTGGCAACTGGCCGAGGCGCAAGGTATAAAATCAGACGTCGGGTACCTGGGGTTATTCAGTGTTGGACCGGATCCCGTGCTCGGCTCAACATCACCTCATCGGATCTCGATCTCTGAACGCCATCCAGAACAGCGATGAGAAATCATTTATTCGTATTCCTCGTCGTCCTAATATTTTCCGCCTCTCTCAATCGTAAGTGCAACGTCCAGTTTCCGTTTTCCAGCCCGTTCGAGAACGGAAACTATATTTCTTTCTTTCTTTCTTTTTTTTTTTTTTCTTTCTTCTTGGTCTCGTGGATCCTGGTTTTCGCGCCATCCAAAGGGATGACATCTTGTTTTTTATTATTATTTTTTTATCGTGTGTTTTTTCTTCTTCTTTTTTTTTATTTTGGTTTTGAGAGATGAAATTCTATTTCTCTTCGTAACGTGTTTAATTTTTTTTTTTTTTTTTTTTTTCTTGCTTTGAACTGAAGGGGAATTGTTCGAAGAGGGATGATGTTTAATTTATTAAGGAGAGGCAGGTAATCCGTGATTCTTTTTCTTTCTTGTTTCTTTTCTTTTCTTTTTTTTTTTTTTTTTTTTTTAGTATTGTAACGTTTGCACACTGGTTTGATGTATTTATTATTCTTTGTTTTAGTCTCCATGGTGAAATTACTCTTCTTCTTCTTCTTCTTCTTGATGTTTCGTTTTCTTTGGGAAATTCTTCTTAAATGATTCTTAGTTTATTATAGAAACGGGCCGGTATTATATCTTATTGCTTCTTTTCTTCTTTGTTTTTTAGTTTTTTCAGTAACTTTTGCAGTAACTTTTCGTTTATTCCTATTTTAATAATTAAGATAATATTCCTCTTCTTAAGCTCTTAATATCTATTCTTTATTGAGATTCTTTATTGCAATAATTTTTATTTTGTTAATTTTTTTCATTCTTTGTATCCTTTTTGTTTCTTTTGTATCTAATCTTTTTAAACTTTTTATTCGGTTAACGAAAATTAAATTTGAATCGATATATTATTAACCGGTTTTCTATGAACTAATTTTCACGTTTCCTTTTCATTTAATTATTGGATGCTAATTCTTTGCTACTTTCTTTTTTATTCTAATTATCGAAAGCAGCTTATAAATTCGTACAACTCGAGCGAGAAATAATAATTTTTTTAAGAATTCATTCCATCTTTTTCTAGTATCCCAATGTGAGCAAGATCGGAAGTTGGAATCTACAAGAGGCACGAATACCACTTTTTTCGAATTTTGTTTTATATTTCTTGTATTTGGAAATATTATTTCATATAATTTCTCTTCTTTTTAATTACTATTCTGCACAATTTAATTAATATATTATTGCATTTGAATCGAGTAGTTTATTGATAAAATTTGTTGACATTTAATATGTAGAAAATAATTTTACTAATTGAATATTTGTTTCTCGACGTTATTTTTTAAATTTACTAATAGACAATTTTAGGAAATAGGCTTCTTGATTGAAAAGTTTCAAAAATTCGATTTCCTCGACTTTACTAACTTTACTATTATTTATTTTTAAGATTATCTAATGAAAACTTTTTTCTTTTTTTTTATAATACCAATTTATTATCTTCTTGATTAAATTTAATATGAAAATAAATTTTTTTATATTTTTCGTAACAACGTTAATTTTACTTTAATAATACTTACTATTTTTAATATAAAACTGGATAATACCGGGTAATTCATAACCTCTAATTTCGTTTCATCGATAGTGTGATCATGGATACGTGTAAAATATTTCATTTTATTATTTTATATTAAAGTTTATTAAATCGACTGGTCAAAATGTTTTCAATTCCAAAAATTCGGCAACTTTGAACATTTTACAACATCTACTCCCTTTACGACCTTTACTTTTCCGCCTTTTTTCATTTCTAATTAAACCAAAACAGGAAAAAAGGGAAAAGAAAAAAAAAAAGATCATGTTTCTCAAAAAAAAGAAAAAACGAAATTCTCTGACGTTTTTGTTAGAAAAGGAAAACACGTTCGTGGAGAAAAAGTTACCGTGGAATGAAGTAGAAATATTCGAATATACTGTGGTTAATTGGATCTGCATTCATTAAGTTATAAACAGAAGAAAGAAAAAAAAAAAAAAAATGATCTTCTTTGAACATGCGAGTTTAATTATATTCATCAAAATTATATACTTTTATTTCCTGCAACATACGAATTGCATTATATTTTCAACAAAAAAAGTGACTTTTCCTCAATATTAATTTTAATAATAATCCCAAAATCAAAATTATTTACAATATTCGTTCGTGAACGAATACAAGCACTTCATCACCCTTCTTTATCCATGATTCAAACAAAGATGTATACCACATTTTCGAATATTAATAATAATAATAATAATAATAATAATAATAATTCTTTTGCATTAATTTATTACCATTAAACCACGAATATTTATACAATTTGATATCTTTGTGAACGCACCTTAATATAAGTATTCGTATTTTAGATCTATTTTATCTTTAAATATCCCATCAATCAATTTAATAATTTTGATTTCAATGAAATTCCTGCGGATGATAGTAGTAATTCAAAAACGGCATTACGTATATACATTATACACTTATGAATACGTACCCATATCAAAATTTAATGCATTATCATTGATAAAATCGTTCACTTTCACGATAATTCCACGTTTCATCGTTGAAGTATTCTCTCATCGATGAAAAGATCCGACATGGACAAAAATTTATTCAAACGTTACGTTGCAGGGGGAGAGAAGTTGAAGCCCAATATCAGGCGGGCGTCCGGTTTGTTGTCCTATCCAAGGGTCGGTCGATCGAATGCGCCCATTTCGAATCTGAATTTCAACCGGCGTGGCATGGAGCCGGACACAGATTTTCAATTTTACAGCGCCGAGTTGGACCCGGACAAAGATTACGAAGGTGAAGTATCGCCAATAACATCGAAACGTGAGCTCCCATACCCTACACCGCAATCCCATTTTACGTGTACTTTGTCTTGTTTAGTGACAGATGGCCAATACCACGCGCCATTTTGCGTACAGAGTGTCCCACTTAAATGGCAACCAGAGCATTTCCTTCCATTTTTGACATCCCGTGTTAGATAATAATCCGTTTATATCCGTTGCAATCACGTCAATCTTGTTACGTGCTTTTGAGGAATCGTTTTTTGACGGTCGTTGAGAAGATTGAAAATTGAAGAATTGGACTATAATTGGAATATATTGTCAGAGGGTAGGAGGATGATAATTTCTGTAATTATAAGTAAATAGGTATAATTTTTGTTGTACGCAGGAGAGTTGGATGGTGGGAGGAGAAATGGTGGATGATTGGTCATACGATAATATGGAATTAGGATGATAAAATTATCATTCGATATTATTTTAAAAGTGGCGAACCTTCCTGAGATTTTTATTATAATTGTAACGTAGAGCATATTTCAATTGAATTGAACGAACAATCATTCGAAATAACGACATTACATTTCCAAATAAAATTTCTTCTGAAGGCAGTATTAGTACAAGTATAAGTATTAGTATTAGTGTAAGTATAGTATTACACACGAAAATTTATATTTCTGACGTGGTTGACGATACTGACAGAATTATTTGAAAAGATATTCGTTCGAATAAAAAGTAAAGTGAAAAATAATTTGAAGAAGAATCATTCCTCGAATAATTATTTCGCCTTTGAGCCACGAAGCTAGAAAATTAATGTCAATTATGGAAAGGAGAATTTACATAAATAATTCGATCACACGTGTATTTATTATTAAAAGAAAAATTGGCACTAGAAAGAACAATACAATAACATCACTTTTTGAAAATAGAATTATATATTTTCGATTGAAATTGCTGTATTTCCATTGTGAAAATAGGAAGAATGAATATCATAGCCTAGATCTTAGAGAGATGATAGATCATTGATCGAAATTCATTCACAAACTTATAAAGCAAATAACATCTCGTTGAAAATGAAAGATCCAACCAAGATGGAACTAGGATGAATTTCAAAGTATTATATCCGATGATAACTTGTCCTATTATCCTGTTCCCCTATTGTATCAATAATTCGTCAAGGATTCGAAATCGAAGGGAAACTGAGAAAGGGAACTTCATCGAAACTTCGATATCAAATTTCTATACGTGTGATATAACGCGATAGTTTCTCAATTTTACGATCAATTTCATTTCCAAAGATCATTGAAATCGTGTTTATTCGAATTTCGAAAATTTCAATTCTCGAAATTGGATTTTAATAGATACGCACTTGGCATAAATTACCATAATTATCTCCAGATTCTCCAGCTCCAAAATCTCTCGGGAGATCGATGTACACCAAACACGCAGACAGAATTCCTAAGGAAGCGTCCTGGCTAATCTCAGATCGTCCTCGTCCGTCCAAAGATGGATCTTGGAAGATCGACGAAGGAAGATCCATATATCCGGCCGCGTTCCTATTGAATTCAGGTATGAAGCATCGAACAAGTTTGTTTAAATATTTTTCTTCTGGAGATTCATTCGAATCCTGTACTTTGCATATTTCGTTTATTAAAATTTCGAACACTGATTTTAATTTCAGAAAACATTTTTTGTTCTTATTTTCTTTTTATTTCATGATTTTTTCATTGATTTAACTCGTTACTCAATAGTATTCAGGTATGAAATCCAAGTATCGAATGAGTTTGTTTAGATATTTTTCTGGAGATTCATTCGAATTCTATACTTTGCATATTTCGTTTATTAAAATGTTGACACTTTTAATTTCAGAAAATATTTTTGATTCTTATTTTTCTTTTATTTCACGTGATTTTTTCATTGATTTAACTCGTTATTCGATAGTATTCACATATGAAAGTATCAAACGAGTTTGTTTAGATATTTTTCTGGAGATTCATTCGAATCCTGTACTTTGCACATTTCGTTTATTAAAATTTCGAACACTGATACTTTTAATTTCAGAAAACATTTTTCGTTCTTATTTTCTTTTTATTTCATGATTTTTTCATTGATTTAACTCGTTACTCGATAAAATTCTATACTTTGCATATTTCTTTATTAAAATTTCGAACACTGACACTCTTAATTTCAGAAAACATTTTTCGTTCTTATTTTCTTTTTATTTCATGATTTTTTCATTGATTTAACTCGTTACTCAATAGTATTCAGGTATGAAATCCAAGTATCGAATGAGTTTGTTTAGATATTTTTCTGGAGATTCATTCGAATTCTATACTTTGCATATTTCGTTTATTAAAATGTTGACACTTTTAGTTTCTGAAAATATTTTTCGTTCTTATTTTCCTTTTATTTCACGTGATTTTTTCATTGATTTAACTCGATAGTATTCAGGTATGAAATCCAAGTATCGAACAAGTTTGTTTAAATATTTTTCTGGAGATTCATTCGAATCCTGTACTTTGCATATTTCGTTTATTAAAATGTCGAACACTTTTAATTTCAGAAAATATTTTTGATTCTTATTTTCCTTTTATTTCACGTTATTTTTTCATTGATTTAACTCGTTACTCGATAGTTGAATGATAGTTTTTCGTTTCAAATTTCAAATAAAAGAATCGTGCATTTTTATTATTCCAACGTTTCGCCATTTAGATATACACGTAGTGAAAGTTGAACGCCATGGTTACGTGATCGAGGAACAAAAGCGCGAAATATTGGATCGCGAATATTCGCGTTGACACGTGGCCTAAATGCCAATTTAATTTTTCCCCTCGTAGAGATATTATTTCAACTCTGTCATCATCGGAATGATAAAAGCGCAAAAGCGGATTCGTGAATAAAACATGGTTAATGCGTTATTATATAAAATTGAAACTCAATAATGAAATGTTCGTCTCACAATTATGACAGGTTTTTGATCGTTGGGATGGGATAATTTTAATTTTTGTTCTAGCTTTAGAGAACAGAGGGAGGAAATATCGGTCATTTCTTCAAAATTGTTTCAATTATACATTTTAAGTTGGATATATAAAATTTTGATGAGGGAAAAATTTCATTTTGATCGTTGCTTTTCGCTACGTTTATTATCTTTGTACTCGTTCAGTTTCGTTATACAAGCTTTGATCGTGATAGTTTTAATACATCGATTTTTTGGATAAAGATGTTTCGTTTCTATTTTTCTTGATTAAAATAATGATTTGATTACGAAGTTTTGTTTTGTATCGAAAATTGCATTTTAAAATTGAGTGGAATAGATTAAATAGATGTCACAATAGAATTGTAGTAGAATTTTTTCGAAATATCCGAAAAAATGTTTTTACAAACCCATTTAATTTTATTTTATTTTCATTCGATATTTTATTTTGCACAGCACGCCAATTAACGTTTCAGATTTCCAGTACGAATTTTAGTTACGGATGCTATTTGGCTTGCTAATAAATAAAGTGATAAAAAGTGATTTATCAAAAGATAAATCTGTGAATTTGAAAAACTTTTGAAAAATACTTTTAATTATACAAATTATATATAAAAAAGATTTTACCTTTTGAATTATTCTATAAAAATTCTAAAGTGTTCATCTTATTATTTTTTTTTAGTATGATAATTAAAGTGAAGTTTGAAGACAAACTCTGCAAGATAAATTAATTCTTCCTTTCTCCAGTTCCATTCAAATTACAAATTACTTTTTATATCCATTGCAGTAATGCACTTCCAAGTATCCTTTTTTTCATTGGAAAAGAATTTAGAAAATCTTGTAAACATCTAGAATCCTTTTATCCATATAAAACTTTAATTATTTATTATATATTTTTTTATATATTATTTATTTATTATATATTTTTATTAATTATTATTCTTCTTTTATATTCATCTCAAATATACTCGATTCTAGATCATTCACAATTCAATTACTACAATTAACAATATTCTAATTTTCCATATAATAATAAAAATAAAATTCCATATAATAATTTTTCTATATATACAGAAAGAAAATATGTTTTATATTCATTATTATATTATATTATATTTATTATTATATTATTATTATATTATATTTATTATTATATATATTTTTCTATATATATACAGTGTGAAAATATGTATGTAAATATTGACTTACCTATCTTTGAAAAAAAATAATGATATCAATAACATTACATATTACGATATAAATGGAAAATATTTTAAATCAAATCCCTCGTAAGATCACTGACAACAATTTTGAGAGATCGTGTTCCATCTAATTTCATTTTAGTAGTTTCAATTCGAACAATTTCAACTAAATTCTGATCGAATCTCCCCTGTTCCTCCACGATGGGAATCACGTATAATGGTATCTTCTGTATCCTCGTTAATTTCAGATTCTCGAAACAGTCAGGTGAACGGTTACACGCCTAGACTCGGCCGGGGGAACGATGCTGATCGAATTCTCTGCAAATGATCATCACCGAGGATCTTCAGGTTTCGCTTCAATGGAAATTCATGCGACTTGGCCTAATCTATCTCTTTACCCAATAACCAATTATTCGCTACTACAATGGAGGAGGAAACTTTGTTTAAACGAGCATATAATAAAAGGATGGATCGATCTTTTCGTGAAATTCAGCAAGCATCGTTTGTAGAAAATTTATCGAAGTTTCCACAGTGTACACGGTAGAATTTTCACTGACATGAGTAATAAAGCTGGTGAAATGGCTATGTTTCTTTTCGAACACGAACTTTTCCCCCTTGGATAAAATCCATCCTGTTCCTGCGAATTTCTCCTTTTCCTTCTCCCCGCGTTGATTTCGACTTTTCTTTTATGTTTCTCTTCGTATTTCCTTTGAAATAAAAAATATATTGTTATTGATGACATTAGTGGTTGTAAGAGATTGTGATAAATTGTAAAGTTGCTTTTCTTGTTAAGCTTAATTAATTTTTTCTTATTTTATTGAAATCTGATTTCCTTTGTTGGAAATGTAAAAAAATTGGTTGATAATTTGAAGTTGTTAAAAATGATATTTACATATCGTTTTATTTATTTTCTGAATATTGATTATGAATTAGAATTCTTTTGATTGAGAAATATTATATTTAAAAAAAAATAACCAACAACAAGTGTTTCTCAATGAAATAAATTTAAAGTTAACACGAAATCAGTCATATAAAATATTCTTTCTATAAGAATAAATTATTTTCATTATATCGTTACTTGATCTAATATTTTTTCAAAAATTTTGAAATTAAGATCCTCTCACTGTTCCTTAATTTGTGTGAATTAAAATTCAACTAAAATCTTAGAAATCTTTTTCTTTCGAAAGATTTAAAATTAAAATCATTCCCTTTATATGTAAAGAAAAATTTAAGTATTATAAAATATTTTTGAAACACAATTTTTCCCAGAAATGATTATAATAAATGCAAGTTAGAGGAATTCATTCTTTTACTGATGGTCAAGATTCACGTTCCAAGATTAATCGTAAAATACGAGAATTTCCCTTCTCTTTTCCCCTTTCTTTTTATAACAGAAGAATTTTTCTCCTCAAAAGAAGAAATTTTTCTCTTTCTTCAAACAGTCACAAACTCATATCCTCCCTTTCGTAGTTTATTGAATTATTCATTTGAAAATGGAATACACGAACATTCCTCTTTTGATCATCGCAATAAACGAATCGTGTATTTCGTATTATCAAATAAAATTAAGGAAAAAGAGGATATTTCGTATCGGCGTTAATCGACCGATTAAATTATAGAAAGATAGCCAAGTTGGCCAAGTTTCAAACGGAAAAGCTTCTCCCCTCTGATTGTAATGAAGTTCGTTTAATTTTTGTGATCAACTTGCGAATATCTTATCAAATCAAATCCGTGTACTTTTATCCTTTTTCTTTGTCCTTTTTTTTTTAACGCTGTTTAAATACAATCGATGCATATAACAGAAATATTAAAAAATTTGAACAATACGAGATGCGTGTTCAACGAGTTCTCAGTGACTTTTGTCACAAATTATTTATTTATTTTCAAGGTAAGAATTCATATAATACAACGAAATTCACGATGAAAAATTCCTTTAACTTTTTATGTATTCATAATGGTTCTAAAATTGTCCAATATTTTAAAAAAAATTTTATATATAATCATAAAATTGTGTTTCATAAAATTTACGTCTATTGACGAGTCGTAGTTAAGGTGTTAAAGCAAATTTTTCGTGTTTTTTCCAATTTACAAAGATAATTTTTATAAATTTATTTAAAAATTGCCTTCAGCACAATCGTATGGTTGTTAATTCAAATTCAAAAATTCATTGTCTATAATATCGTTTCTATTCGCCTGATCGATCATTGACTTCTTTCACTTCTCACGTGAAACATATAAACGTTTCGAGATACAAAAGAAAATAATTGCGAAATCTTTCGAAATTGACAAAAGTTTCTGAATTTTTGGAATATATTCAAGATTTCCTTCAGCACAATCATATAATTGTTAATTCAAATTCAAAAATTCACTGTCTATAATATCGTTTCTATTCGTCTGATCGATCATTGACTTCTTTCACTTCTCACGTGAAACATATAAACGTTTCGAGATACAAAAGAAAGTAATTGCGAAATCTTTCGAAATTGACAAAAGTCTCTGAATTTTTGGAATACATCCTTTGTATATTCAAGATTGCCTTCAGCACAATTATAGTTGTTAATTCAAATTCAAAAATTCATTGTCTATAATATTCTTTCTATTCGCCTGATCGATCATTGACTTCTTTCACTTCTCACGTGAAACATATATTCGAGATACAAAAGAAATTGCGAAATCTTTCGAAATTGACAAAAGTTTCTGAATTTTTGGAATATATTCAAGATTTCCTTCAGCACAATCATACAATTGTTAATTCAAATTCAAAAATTCACTGTCTATAATATCGTTTCTATTCGCCTGATCGATCATTGACTTCTTTCACTTCTCACGTGAAACATATAAACGTTTCGAGATACAAAAGAAAATAATTGCGAAATCTTTCGAAATTGACAAAAGTCTCTGAATTTTTGGAATACATCCTTTGTATATTCAAGATTGCCTTCAGCACAATCATGCAGTTGTTAATTCAAATTCAAAAATTCACTGTCTATAATATCGTTTCTATTCGCCTGATTGATCATTGATTTCTTTCACTTCTCACGTGAAACATATATTCGAGATACAAAAGAAATTGCGAAATCTTTCGAAATTGACAAAAGTCTCTGAATTTTTGGAATATATCCTTTGTATATTCAAGATTACTTTCAGTGCAATCATAAATTTGTTAATTCAAATTCAAAAATTCACTGTCTATAATATCGTTTCTATTCGCCTGATCGATCATTGACTTCTTTCACTTCTCACGTGAAACATATAAACGTTTCGAGATACAAAAGAAAGTAATTGCGAAATCTTTCGAAATTGACAAAAGTCTCTGAATTTTTGGAATACATCCTTTGTATATTCAAGAATTAGAATAAATACGATTCATCCTCTGCAATATTATTCCTTGAGCAAGTATTTGTAAATGTTTATCTCCATCTTTATTCGAATCGAATTGTATTCACTGATACAATTCAAGATATTACGTATAATTAACAGAATGGATCGATTTAATAAACAATGTACATGTTATTTACATTCAAAGTTCAAAGTTCTAATTTGTATGGATACAGGTGAATGATTATAATCAGCCTTGTCGATTCGCCAATTTGCATTTAATCTCCTGAATATTCTTATGATACGATTGGACTTTGCGTTAATAGGTATTTTCATTATTCAAGATGTTTCTAGATGTACTTTAAAAGAGTAAAAAAAGAACATTTTAAAAATGAATTTAGAATTCTGAATAAATATTGTTTGATAATTTGTACGAATTTCTAAGAGATAATTAAAATCTAAATGAATATTCTATTTACATAAATTAATAGAATTTTGAATAAATGTTCTTTAAAATAAATCACACAATTTAGTGAACAAGCTAATTATACATCTTTAAAAGAAATACATTTATATCTTAAATTTAGCATTTTTAATAAATATTTTAATTCCAATGTATAAAATGTAAAATTTTAAATATAGAAAAAAAAAATACTTACTTTTAATTCCGACAATTTGAAATAAAAAATATTTCAAATATTCCTATTTTGATCTATTGTCATTTGAATACTACTTGAAATTATATCTCCACAATAACGTGATAAAATTTTTACCTTGAAAAAATATTTTTTCTCAATCCCATAAATTTTTATATTTAATACAAAATAACAAAATAAAAATTACTTTATTTTGAAACATTTCCAAAGTTTAATGGCACAAGGTTAAAAAAAAAGAAAGTTCAAAATTTCTTAACAATTTAAAAAGGAATTCACAACTTCTCAAGAATCAATTAGTCATCGTCAATTACCAGACTAAGTTTTCAAATTTTATTTCTCCTCGCGAATTTACACACCATTTGAACATTGATCCTCGCCCTGTCCCTTTGCTTATATAATCTTCTTCATCCCCTCCCCTCCTCCCCAGCATCCCCTATAAGATCTTTCGGATCTCGAATCGATCGGATTTTCGATCGTTCGCTGGAATAAAAGTCAGAACAATAATTCGATGATGTGTAAAATTCAATCGTTTTATTTAATTGACAAAGTGTTCATAATGGGCGGCGACGCGGCACGCGTCGGCCACGCTATTAAATACGTGTACTGCGATAACAAATATGTACAGTTGGCGGAATCGAAATGGTGAAATCGCAAATAAAAACATTACATGATGATGATATTTAATGATGTATGATCATATATCCAGGGCTGTACGGATATCTAAAAAAGTATGATAAATTTAAAAATTTGAAAATTTGAAAATTTATCATTTGATAATTTAATTAATACCTAATAAAATCGTGATTCGATAATTCAAGGATTCGAGTTAAATTACTTGATTTTAAAATATTTTTAATAGGATAAATATACATTTGCCAATAAAATTGTTTATTTGAAACTTAAATTAGTTTGAATTGCAATTAAAAAAGTAATATCTTATCGTGTTATATATTTTATACTTTTTAACGATTAAACATATTCTAACATAAATTATTAAAACCACTTACGATCCAATTATTGTATATGATGTCTTTAAATGAAATAAATAGTATATCTTTCAAATTATGTATCATATCAAATTTTATAAATGAAAATTATACGTATATATAACAATAAAATTTTTTTTCTAAAAAAAAAAAAGAAACATAAATAAAATGTCGCACAGCCCTGAGAGATTCCAACTTTTAATCTTCCCTTGTATATTTCGAAATTGCTCGAAAGACGTGAGATTTAACGGTTGACCGATTTCTCACGATCTCGCCATATCGGTACCACCAACCATGCACACGTAGAGTACGTAACAAACTAGTGATACACCTCGAGAATGATTAGGGGAGATAACATTACTTCTGCATCCGCCATGAGGATATCCCTCCTCGTTCTTCCTTATCTTCTTCTATTTTCGTCCCTTTCTTTTCGTGTTTTTTTTTTCCGTCCATTTTTATCATTTCGATTTGTGATTTTTATTAATCATTATTTACAAACCACCAGAATCCGTGGATATTGGCAACTAGGAGAGACTTATGTCCTAAAACGATCACACACGCACTCGTCATTGTACGAGCAGCCATTGTACGCCGACCAAGCATGCAAGCCAGTTAGACAAGCGAACATACAGACACGAGGGGGGGCTCGTCTTAGAAACTGCACGTGTCCACTTGTTTGCATCATCATGGTCACGAGGAACGTTGACGATGATTTTATGAAATTTGAAAATTGAGAAGATGACTTTTGTTAGACAATTTTGAAGATTGGAATTAAAAAGTATTTAAAAAGAAGTTTGAATAAAATTTAGAAATTAGGTAAGAAAACTGTGTGATTCACACATTGTAAAGTTTAAAGTAAAGATTAGATTCGTAGATAGGATCTCTATTTAAAACAATGATTCAGTGGATATGAAAATTGGATGAGGAATTGGGTTTGAATTTTGAGATAAAATTTTGGAAATTATAAATTAAGAGTGTTGAAAAATCTAAAGAATAACTAAATGGTGAATAATATATTATGCGAAGGTTTGTTTAGAAACTGAAAGAAGATTGCGTTTCATGAGCAAATAATAGAAATTAAAATTAAGAAAAACAGAAAGATAAAAAGTAAAATTAGAAGAAGATTGAAAAAGTAGGGAATATATTAAGAGAATTTTATCATTTCTTCAATGAAGTATTTTTTTATAGCAAATATTTCATAACTTTAAAATTATAACGAGAAAATCTTATTTTTATATTTAAAATAAAGGCAAAAAATATTTAAAATATTGGAATAATAAGGGAAGACGTTAGTTAAATGTGACATATATTAACGCCATACACAAAGAAAACTAATTTACGTATAAATTAAACATTTTCAGAATAGGAAATCAATTAACGAAGATTAATTAAAGAACTAAATGAAAAGTAAATAACCGCAATACTCTATTGGAACTAGGCTATAATTGCTGCTCATTCAACTGAAACCATTAATATATGAATATACTGCTGAATGACATTCTTAAAATTATTGCACAGCGAGCTTCTAAAACGACATCAACATCAAAAAATATTGGATCGACTGTACATGTGTTACGTTTGTTATAAAAAGTCACAAATCTTATGAATTCTAACGTCAGAAATTGCTTCAACTTTCTGACACTTTTCGTTTCTGATATTTGAGCAAACGAATTAATCTGTTCTGAGCTATCTACAAAATTGTTTCGATTCATGAAAAAGATTCGTTTCGTCGATAATTCCAAATAGCGGACGTCGATCTTTGGCGCTAGTGTCGGCAACTTCTCTTAAAAGAAAGAAAGAAAGAAAGAAAGAAAAAAAAAGAAACGTGCAGTTTCGAGACTCGACGTCTTATGTAATCGAATAAGTTGTTGGACAGACATAACTGTATACTATTTTCGATAACCTCCGGACGTCTTTTTAAATATATCAATGAGATACAAACTTTCTAGGTCCCTGTATGTATACAACCTTAATCAATGTACGCTCGAGGATTTGATTTCGGATGATTTAAAAACGTGAGCCATTCGCTTACCAAGTGACGATTAACAATTGTTAAGTACATATAGTATATATTACAGCACTCTCACGGTATATAAGTACAAGATATACAAAAGTGTTCCTCCTATTTTTTACCTTAACTTACATTTGGCAACGGGATTATTGGTCTTCCATGTTTATTCTATCATAAACATTCTTCTTGAATCGAGAAATTACCTCGAAAAGAAAAAAAAAATGAATAGAAGAAGAAGAAGAAGAAGAAGAAGAAAAAGGAATGTAAAATAACATGATGAATATCACAGGCGATAAAAATCAAACTACGAGCTCTATGAACAAGCCAACCAGTAAAAAATTGCAAACACCTTTTTTACCTTTCCGGATTATACAATTCCTGTATATCGTGAAACAACATCACTCGCCAGTGTTTCTTTTCACCTGGTAGGCACACGGCTCACTGTATAAAATGCGAATACAGTGCGAAGTACTATCAACGACGAACACAACGAACGAGATCGAGGGAGGGGGGAGGAGAGAAGAGGACACACGCGACCGAGTACGACGGTTGTTGTGTACGTTTAAGGAGGTGGGGAGGGGGGGAAGAAGCGACGGACGAGCTTTTGAACAAGTATACCGACTATTTCCATTCCGGCCAGAAATCCCTTACAGGGACACGAACTCGTGAGGCGGTTGAATGATTCGCGGTGGCGGGGGCGGTGATAATCTCAGGTCGACGTCCGTGAGCGAGAACGCGGAGCTGCCGTTGGCCGTGACGCGGGGCCCCATATTGTCGTAAGGCGAGCAGAGGTCGCTGGAGCGCAGCGCTCGTCGCGGCAGCGTGGCGAAACTGGAAACGCTGGTTGCCGGGGGGAGGGCCGTTTTGTTCACCACGCCGCCAGTGGCGTGAACTGGAATGTCCAAAAGGTCAGGATAGCAACGATCAGAGGCATCTTGCGGCACCGCCACGGAGATGAATATGTTCCCGAATATACCGGGCGGTAGAACGCCGCTGGTGAACTCTGGCGGCGGTGGCGGGAACACGCACGGCACGGTTCTCATGGCGTTCACGGGGCCGCCGCTCATCTCTGGATGCAGTCTCTCCACGGTGACGGTGGCGGCGCTCATAGGGTCGCAAATGGATCCCCTTTCGGCCAGTTCGAGATCACCCGTGCTGCACGCTTCCACTATACTCCCGTGCCCACTACCCCGATCGTTGCTGTTCCCAGGGGTGGTGGTGGTGGTGACGGACAGGTCGAGAAGCTTCTTCTCCTGGTCACCGAAACTGGTGCTGCTCTGGAGCTTCACCTTTTCACGAGCACTCTGCCGTCGGGTACCGCCGCACACGCACAGGGCTAGGAGAACCGCGGAAATGGAAGCGCACAACGCGGCCGCGCCACCGCCTGCCAGGCTCACCCAGAGCAACCAGTTGTCGCTCTGGGAGAGGGTGGGCGCCGTGTACACGCGCGGGATCGCCACGCTGACCGTATCCCTGGCCAGGCCGGCGATGTTTTTCGCGAAACAAGAGTACTCCCCGGCATCGCCGTCACTCGCGTTGTAGACGGTCAGGTTGTTCCACCTGTCGACGAGTCTACCCGACGACGGTGACGATCGTTCGTTGTACGAAGCCGCCGCATCCACGTCCGACGTCGCGTAAGCCACGTAGGTTCCCGAGTAAATTTGCTCGGTCAACTTGGAGGCGTTCACCGGTCCTCCGTTCAATTGCCACCAAACCTCGGGCTCTGGATCACCGGTGGCCAAACAGGCCAGGCTCAGGTTCCCGTTCGTCTCCTCCTGAATGCTGCTCGCCAGAACGAACACCTCTGGCTCGCAGGCGAACTCGACAGGTTTCACGTCCTCCCACTTACGACCTTCTAGTCTCATCGGCGACGAACACGCTTGAGGCACGGAATACAACTTGCTGGGTCCGTTGGGGATCAGCCAAGTTCGAAAGTCTCTGAGCCTGCAGTCGCAGCTCCACCGGTTCCCGTCTAACGTCAGAGTTTTCAATCGTGGCAGATTCGATATCACCGACACATCCAGGTACTCGAGAACGTTCTGGTCTAACCTCAACGACTCCAAACCGGTCAGATATACGAACGCTTCCCCGTGGATCTCGGACAGGGAACACCTCTGCAACTCCAAATTTCTTAAGTGTTGGAGTAGGGGGAACTGGTGGCTTCTCAACCGCGTCAATGGGTTCCCGCTCAAAATTAAGATCCTCAGTCTTTCGTTGCCCAGAAATGTGTCTGGCTCGAGCATCTCCACGTGATTGTCGGACAGGTCGATCTCCACCAATATCCTCATGTCCCTGAACGAGTCAGGGTGGATCTTATAAATGCCTGCGTTCCTCAAGAAGACCCTCTGCAGATTCAGCAGGCCGGAACGCTTGAAGATTTCCGACTGTAACCCGGGAATCTTGTTCCCGGACAGGTCAAGCACCTGCATGTCAGGGTCCAGCGAGGCCGGGAGCGAGGTTAGGCCGGCGTCAGGGCATAAGGCGGATTTCTTCCCGGACGTCCACTTGCAACGGCACACAGCTGGACAATCGGTCCAGTCTGGGAATGCAGCCGCTTTCGAGAGCAAGGCAAGCGTGCCGAGTAGAAAAAAGAGGGCCAGCAGGATGCGCCCTCGCAGAGGGTGGTGCCTTGTCCCTATCATGCCACTATCCGTTTCTCTTTCCGCTACTGCTAGTCGTCCCTCTGGATCCCTCCCTCCGTCGATTAGAAACCTGAAACGCGTAAAATAATATGTAACATCGGTTCAAATAATGCGTGTTCCACGTGTTTCTAGAATTTATTATCGGAGTCTCTAAGGATGGGGTACTTACTTTTTCGAATTGTTACAATATCTCTAAATTATAATGATGCTTTTGTACAATTATTCTAATAGTTGTCGAATATTTTTAATTCGTTGTTGGTTAACCATAATGTATTTTTTATTGCAATGTTATCGTAAGATCAATATTTATTGCTGTGAGAGTCATACGTCAGCTGACGGTATCAGGAATCGAAAGTAACACACCGCGAATTTCGTTATCTTTCACGATTCGAACTTTTCTTCGGGTATGTACCGGGTGACCTATTTTTAATTGTCATCCACTGCGATACTCTTCGAAAATTTCTCAATTGGCGATCGATTTACCGATGTAATCCGCATGATACATTGTTGTGTAATAATATCGCCGCGTATTTGAGCGATAGGATCGAATTTATTATTTCTCTCGCTGCCTCCACTTCGACATATGTTCAGGTGATTTTCTAAAGGTCACCGTATAAGCGGCAGTCTTCGAATATATTACAGATTCTATCGAAGTCGTCGAAGAAGTGGATACATGGGGGTTAAAGGTCTAGGGGAGCGTCAGAATATTAACGAGGAAGTTGGAAATATGTATACGTATATATGTGCGAGCGAAGCTTCCCTCAAAATACATAATTCCCCTATCGTATTCCTAACAAGAGCAAAATCATAAACTTTTCTGTTATCTACACGTCACTGTCGTCCTTAAACTAATGGGGGAAAAGATTGAGGAAAAAATTCAAGTTAAATGGCGATGATATTAAGGCGAGTATCGATTATTTAAATGATTTTACTTCATTTATTGTATAACAACAATGTGATAATTAATTCTCTGGCATAATAATTTACTGATAATGTTAACAAATGAACAAAATTACGAAATTTTAATTGTATAAATATTTATATTTTATATAATCTTATTAATTGTTATTAAACGTTTGCAAGCTTCTTTTTTTTTAAAAAAGGAAATAAATTTTTATTGATCGCGTCGATTTGAAAGATTTACTTGTAATACTTTGTTCGTCATCACTGTGTGTTTTAGAAATTACTAATTCAATTAATAAAATTAGTAATATTCAATTGTACGATTCAAATGATCGAAAGTCATAAATTATATAGGAAGCAGGTAAACAAACGAGATTTCGAGAACTTCCTCTTTAACCATAGTCGATCTTTCGCAAGTAAGTTCACTTTTGCCGAAAACACCAAGTTCTCGCATAAATTGAAATAGGTCAACCCTTGGAGCGTATATGTGAAAGATACGAAAACAAGACTGGGATCTTGCTTCCTGTTACAGTATGTTCCTATTATTCTGCATTATTCTCCCGAAACATTTTCTCCGCCACACTTAAAAAACAACTTCGAACCTGTTGACTCTAACGCGAAACAGACCGAACGGAACTTTTCAGGAAACCGGGAGGAAAGAAGAGAAAAGAAGAAAAAAGAGAGGAGAGAGAGAGAGAGGAAAAAAAGAAACGCCCCGATATTTCTATTCATCCCCTGTTTTTCTCACGTTCACATGAGAATAAGAAGGCTAATTAACGAATACAATTCGTCTCTTTTCCCCGTGTAAACTAAACGGGAGGGGAAAAAAGGAAAGATAAAAGGAAGGAAACATGGTTAAAAAGAAAATTGAAAAGAAAAGAAAAAAAGAGAAAAAAGAAGAATCTATCGATTGCGAGGGAAGAAAAAGAGATTGAGATCGAACGCCACGTGATACGATTTGAAAAGCGCGCGTAAACAGGGTGACCTCTCAAAAGAAACTAGGATAATTTTACTAGCGTGTCCGATGTATCTTTTTCTTTTTTTTTATTTTAAACGAAAAGGAATATTTATTGCCTAAGAAAATAGAAAGATTCTACACATAGATTTTTATATTTTATATATTTCTACGTTCAAATATTTGTATATTGCATTTGAAAAATTTTATCTCTTATGTCGTTATTTATATTCGTAGATATATTAAAAGAATACGCAATATAGATGAGTCAAACATTTTATGTAACGTGCATCCTTCAGTATTCCTCTATAAAATATTCCAAAAACCGTAGATACGATTTACATACGAATCTTTCATCTTATATACTCGATGTATATAATAAAATTTAGAATTTTAAAATAAAAACATACATTCGTTTATGTTATTAAATAAAACAATATTATTTATTCTTAAAGTAGATTCTTTCTTTCTAATATCATTTTTCTGCGTTTCAAAGTGGTAATAAACTGGTACAATATCACGTGTGTAACGAGTATATAAAATTACGCGTAATAATTTCCGGATTAACACACTCTCCGCCATAGTTTACGCTCGTTAAGAGGCCATTTCTTAATGCATTATTCTACTACTATTGTTCGAACAATACTCACATTTTGTCCTGTCTTTATCAAAATTTTTTTTTTTATCAAAATTTGCATAATTAAATTTTTCAAAATATGATCAAAATTAAAATATCTGATGAATAAAATATATCCGATTGAAATTACTTTAAACTTATTTTAAATTGTTTTAAAGAATGGTCAAACCTTGATCGAAGTCTTCCATTATTGTTTCGTAATCAATCAATTTTATAATTTTATCCCATTTAAATTTGTGAGAATATATCATTGAGAGGATCAATTTGACCAATTAATGAGAAAGGTTCTATACTATAAATTCTGTCCCTAAAAAAAAAAAAAAAAAAAATAAAAAAACAAAAGAAACGAGATATTCAACGAAAATATTCAATGTTATTTAACAAACCAAAAAAGTAAACAAGTAAAGTAAAACAATATTATAATAATATTTTAAAAACTTATATTACACCCACGGCATAATCTTTCCTAAAAAAAAAAAAACTCCACACTTCACGATAGATTAACGCAAGATATTAACACAGGTTGATAACACTTAATTTTCGAGGTGGTTGAAAGCGAGATAATCAACGGCCAGGGAGCACATACACCGTGAAATGTACCACACCTAATAAATACTTAATCGTTTACATCGGCAACACAACCGATATAATTTATTTACACGATTATGAATATTAATGCGGTCGCAATTGAAATGGAAATTTCCCCGTAAGTGTTCACAGCAGGTATTTTAAACGTTTCTGCTTTCGTTCGATGCCCCCCTTCCCCCCTCCCTCTGGAGCCAAGTTGCCGAGCGCGAAAACGAATCATATTAAAGGGGGGCGACCTGTACGAACGATATCGATGAATCATCTCGCGGAATCCCCACAACACTTTTGTCTTTTATTACACGTGTTATTGCGCGTGTGTTGCTCGTGTCGGAATGGACTCGAGCATAAAATCGAAATGCATCGTGTCGCATCGAATTTGTCCCCAACAAATCCCCAACTTCCCGTTACGTCGGGGAATATAGGAGCAATATTGTTCTCGAAACAAACCGCGGGGAGAAGTCCTACTGCGTAGGACACTCGTCACGGGCAAGAATAATATTTCTGGACTTAGTGGAAATGTCGATACCAGGAGCGTGTTCTTAACGCTGAATTGATATCGCGTCACGTTGGGTCATTAGTTAGATAACAATGGGAATTTTAATTGAAGATTGTTTCGAGATACTTGATCTTACGATGTTATCTAAATGGTTTTTCTCGTTCATCGGAAGGTAATAATAATGTTTTTTGGTCAACAAAGCGATTATCTATGATTTATTTATTTATAATTTATATTTGTTTAAATTCAAATGATTCAATCGTGTGTATCTCGCAAATGTTATTTTAGGTATTATTTTAAAAATTCCTCGAAAATTATTTAAAGAAAGTCTGTCCTTCATTTTTTTGCATTATCTTTTTTGCTAATATCGTAGTAGTTTCCCAGGCTTTCTCGAGTTACAACTCCCATTTAAAACAAACTAGACAAATGACTTCAATTCTCATAAAAATGAGTCATTTCCTTTCGTTAAATATTATCACATATATTTAGAATATACACCATACCATAATATTATTCTTAATTAATTTCACTTATTAAAAGTCTATCTATTGAAATTTTCACACGAATTTGTACAAATAACCCTTAAAAAAAAAAACCCTAGAAAAAAATTCACAAATACTACACTTTATTAAATATTCTGTACGCCACTGTTTTTGCAGATCTATTTTTCTATAGCTTATGCATAAAGTTGAAAGAGAGAGAGAGAGAGAGAGAGAGAGAGAGAGAGAGAGAGAGACGCATAAATAATGCGAAAAATAAAAGGATAAAGAAACAGAAGGGAAACGTGGATGATCCAACAAAAATAATACAGGCAGACAGCGAGGCGCATGGTATATCATGATATTCGATCCAAGGGAAAGCGGAAGTCTCTCTTTCACTCTCTCTCTTTCTCTCTTTCTCTAACGATGCTCGGCTTATTCTTACTTGAGCGTCTCCTTTGGCCGCCACTAAGCATGCCGTCTGCGAATCTGAATGGGGCCGTCATGCCTGCGTGGACGCTTCCATTGTTTCTCAGGGGCTTTCATTTCGCCGACGGTCCTCCTTCGGGCATCACAAAGCCATTGTTGCTCGGGACTTCTTAGATTTCATTCTGATTAAGCCGCGGCGACCGTTCCACGCTGGCCCACTTTTCCAATTACAACTCTGTGTGCACAGCGGCCCCAGGATTAATATGCGACGAAAACAAATCCTGCAACGATTATGCGCATCTTCTTATTGTCTCTACACGTTTCTTCTCTGCAATGGAATATTTCGATTTGGAAAATAATAATGATAAAAAAAAGAAGAAGCGTGTCGATATCAAACATTTTCTCGTCCCTCTAATCGCAATATCGAAATTTCAATTTCTTTTTTCCCGCGTAGAAAGAGAAATTTATTATACAGATATTATAAACACGAGAATTTTTCGCGAGGTGGGCAAGGAATTTTGAAGCAGTTTGTGAAAAACAGAAATTCCACGGACGTGTACTCCAAGCCACACACACTGCTAAGAGAGACATATTAATTGCTGACGTGCGCTAATGGCATGCACGCGTAATGCGCCGCAAAATTTATATCGATCATAAATTAGTCGGAAAGTCGCTCAGGAGTCGGCCAATAACTCTCAATATCAATGGAAATTTCGATGAGACGAGACGAAAGTTTTCGAATCGAAAAATACGATTAACAACAAAAAACGTTGAATTGCATTTGACAATTAATCATCGACGATAAAAAATCATCAATTGAATTTATATAGAATTTATATCTTACTCGATACTTTAAAACAGAATAATAATCTTATATGTGTAATAGAGAAAAAAATTTATGAAACGAAAAATATCGTACTGGGTTAAAAGAGTCGTGGTTAGGTTGATAGAGGTTCGTTAGGAAGCAGGGGTGGCCACAGGCTGTGTGGTTCGACGCTCGATTCGACGCTCGATTACTCGAATCGACTGTGCCACGGGTCCTCACGGTGTCATGTACGTGTCACTCGACTCCCCCGAGCGAGCTTTCGAGTGCATCGACCGCGGCAAATTCGCTTATACCACGTACTTGCATGAGAATCTGCGGACGCGACGAAAAATCCGTACGTTCCTCGCGACCTGGCCTGACCAATCGTGGCGCCGTTCACTGGCTCGTTGAAAAATTAAACGCGAGAGAGCACACTGTACACCGTTGTATCCCTACTTCATTCCGTCTTCCCACTTTCCCCCTTTCCGTATCTCTCTTCCTTCCTCTTTGCTCCTCCTCCTTCCACACTCCTCCAGGAAATCTCGTCCTTTTGTTTATACTTCCACGAAAGAACAATCGTTTCGAACAGGTTTCTTTCACCGATGGATGGAAATCGAGGAAAAACATAAGCACGGTTGGAAACACTGTTATAAAATAGATCACGTATACGGATCACATTTGCAGGATTGACGCGTGTGTTGGGTTTTCGAATAGGCGAAGCCCGCAGAAAAGCGAGAAACGGAGCGACAGACGACACGGTGCACTTGTCAGCTTCCTCTCCACGCGTAGTCTCGAGGCGCGTGAACGTGTATTCGCCCGTTCTCACGGGAGGACACCCCCCACCTGGTACGCGGGGTCGTCGACTGGCATCGACGAGCTCTTTTCTATTATCCTCTCGGCCGATCAATCAATCCGGTCGTGTAAGACCTTTTGCGGATAAGAACGAGCCACCATCCCAACAGTCCACTATCGTTATTCCTTCTTGGCTAGCCTCGAATCTCGAAACGGGTGATGAGAGAGAAGAGCTAGCGACCACGCCGCTCCATTGAGGATCTTCATTCCCCAAGTTCTCGCTACGGCACACGAGAGACGAGGTGGCAAGTATGATCCCACATATACACACATACACGTACACAGGGGCACACGAACAAGGGAAAGATGCACGAATACGCGTTCCGATTTTCGCCACGAAAAAGATTCAGAGGGAGAACACTTCTTTTCCTTCCGACCATACGCGAAATAACCGCGATAAGGTGTCACGCACACGCCACACGAAACCTGCAGATTTGCCGCAGAGGCAAGAGACACGGTGCCTCCGTATCCCCGGTATCTGTTCCTCTTGCTTCCCCTTCTCTTTCATACCCCTCTATGATCAGAACCCCCTCCTTTTCCTCGCCCATCATGGTGGACGCTCGTTTCACCGCCCTCTTGCTTCCTCGTTACCCGTAACTGTCCTCTTTTGCTCCTCTTACGCCGCATAACCGTGCGTGGGCAGCACTGTCGAATTCTGGTTCGACGAAAATTTCTCCTTTTCCTCACGCTAGCGCCCTCTTCAGGCCTACCGGATCTCTCCTGTACAATTTCTCAACCCCCTCCTCTCTTTTTCATTTTAGAAGCTCGCTCCAATTTCTTGTAAATATTGACTAAACCTAAAGTTTGATCGGCGTCGCGATTTTCGTCGATCGTGCATTGCAAGGGAAACGCGGCGATGAATATCGGTCGGTGGATAAATTTTGTATCACGCTTTTGAAAGACATAACCTAAAAGGTGGAATACGCGGTCATATTCGGTCACGATTTTGAGTATAGTAGGAGCATCTTATCATCGTTGGTTCCTCTTTTACGCTCGATTTCTAACTTATCGACACAACACAGTTGAAGTACCAACTTAAATAATGCAAATGGAGCCACGGTGGCGCTGCGTGCGAGACTCGGAGGGGAATCACCGAAGTCGATGAAGCGCGTGAAAATAAAGGGATGTGGAATAGATCGATGGGATTACTTACATGGACGAATGTATACACGGAAGATAGGGTTTCGATGTCGCCATTTCCGTCTACGTTTTTCAGCATTTTATTACAAGAATATAGTATAAACTTTCGTTCGATATGTGTGTGTATATGTATAGTATGTATGCATGTATGTCGTATGTATTCATGTATATGCAAGTGGTGGAACGAGTGGGCGTGTACGCATGATCATCCATCACGCACAAATCTTTAGTTTCTTCTTCTCCTTCTTCTTCTTCTTCTTCTTTTTTTTTTTTTTTTATATCTTTTATACATAAAGAATCTCGTGTTTTTCATTTCTATCCCCATCCCTATAGTTCTATTCATCATCGTCATCAACGACCTCAACACAGGCCACGATAGTCATAGCTTTTTCGATAGTTGATCGATATACGTATAATAATATATCTTGTGTTAATCTTACGTTTTTTTTTTTTTTTGTTTTAACCTTATCTCCGCTAAATTGTAATCTATATATAGGTATATCTTCTGTATGTGTCTCTCTGTGTATTTGTCTGTGTATCTGCGTGTTCTTTGCGTGTTTTTTTTTTTTTTTTTTCTCGTTACTGGAAACATACTTGGCAGTTCACGTCTAATAGTACAACGAAGCATTTTTCTTCTTTTTAATCTCTTTCTCTCTTTTTCTCGACATTCTGACCTCTCTTCTTTTCTCACTCGCTCGTTCTCTCTTTCTTTCGTTCGCTCTCTCACTCTTCCTCTCAACCATACGCGCCACGATGGCCTCTGCTCGATCTGATCGATACGATGACCACTGGTCGCGCTCATTAATTGATATGTCAGTGGGTTTCTATCCTCTTAACTGCGTGGCTCCAGTTTAACCCAGGGAAAGCGTAGTTCACCTCCAGCCACCCCCATAACTTGCCAAGGGGGTTATTTCCAGCTGTTGGCTGCAACAAATACAGAAATAATGATGGAATATTTTGTGGTAAAATAGATCAAGTTCATTAGAATACGAAAGCCAGAATTGATTAAGATTGATTAAAAAGAATGGTTTGATTTTGAATAGAAATGAATAGAAAATAAAATAAATATAAGAATTGTAAAATTATTCTCATAGGCCCTATCTTTTTAAAATTCTGATGATAAATAGTAGATTAATTAATTTTATGATTCAAAGATCACCATATCAGTCCAGAACTATATTGATAGATATTTTTTTAAATCTCCTATAAACTAGTGAGATCCAACAACAAAAATTATCCTCACGATATAAAAATTAAAAGATCAATCTTTTCATTGATTTTTCAAAATCAAACACAATCGTTACCTGTATTATAATTATTCAAAACTCAATAAGAAAGCTAATCCATTAAAAATCAATTGATATATAAATTTTTCTAATATTATCCTATGTGATGTACAATACTTATTACTTATCAAAAACTTTCTACTATTCCTTCCTCTCCCCATTGAAACTTTGATTTGATACTCGTATCAACATGTTCTATTTGTAGCTCACTAAAAAGTTATCCATATCCTGTGCTAATATTCTACCATCACTGTTACCATTCCCATCAACATCTGTTATCACCTGAATCGAGACAAAACGTCCAACTCTGTGATCACTTTTGCCCGTTGCAAAAGTATAGAAAATTAGTCGGCAAAACGGGGGTAGTAACAGTCATTCGAGCTTTGTATCCGAACGAACTTTTCCCATTTCACGTGGCGAAGCAAGGTGGGATACAGCTTTTCATACCTTTGTAGTATATGTCCCTATTCATCGTCGGACAGTTCTTCGGTCCCTGAAGAGGAAAAAGTTTCCAGACAATTATACGGGGTTATCGTGAGGTTGAAAAAGGCTCGTGTATACACAACAGTATAGGGGGAAAGGTTACCTGAACGTTGAAGTCGATGTTTGTTCGAACGGGACGATGATGAAGCGGCTGCGGCGGTCTGAAATTATTCCCTAGTGGCGCGTTCGGATGATCCTTGTCTCCTTGCATCAATTGTCGCAACGCGAGAAGCTGCAAAGGATGAAATGAATATCGCAAAACCTTTCTTGTCTCGTGCATCTTTATATCTTTACATTTTTCTTTACTCTTATTCTTTCTGATGATGAAACCACCTTAATACCATTGAGAGAATATTGAGATTACAAGGAGGAATATGGAAATTGATTTCTTTGCTACACTGGCAATGGATTTTAGATTATTGAAATGAGATTGGAGAAATACAAAGCTGTTTCTTAGAATTTTGTTTTAGATTGTAGTTACAAAGATGAAAATTCGATGATTACAACTTTGGATGAATACAATGTCTTTTTTGTCTACTATTTTTCTGCTTCTTATAATCTGAAAATTAAAAATTAAAGAAATAAAAAATCTATAAAAATTTAATTTTAAAACAATTTTTGAGAAATATTAAAATAATCAATGATTGGAAATTAGTATCATTTTATTTTATTAAATTCTTTTTTTTTTAATATAAAAAAAAACTAAGAAATCAAATTTAGAAACAGAAATCTTTATTCTACAACATTTATAAAAGTTTCATTGAAATAACGAACAGAATAATTTTAATATACTTTTTTAATTAATGTAAGAAGCAAATGTAAGATAAAAGTTTTTAAAATAAGGATTTTAGATGATAACTATAAATATTAAGTGCAATATTAATTTGATTAAATTTAATATAAATTAATATAAATTAAAAATAATTTTCTCCTACATCTTTGCATTCTATAATGGTATGAACTAACAACTGCAATAAAATGTTCATTATAGATATTGATTTATCGATTCCTCAATTTTGAGAAACTCTAACACCGACGATTAAAGTCCTTATTCTCACTGCCTTTGCATTCTGCTCTTTCGAAATGGCCTTTCCTCGTAACAGCTTAATTGCTTGAAAGTTAAGTTACTCGCTTTAAATTTTCATCGGAATATTTGACGACGTACCCTTTTCGTATTTTAAATTTTCACTTTAATCTCGTTTGATTAAATAATCAGGTGTAAAATTGGTTGCAATTAAGTTGATAAAAAATTAAATAAAATTCACTTATAGTTTTAAGTATAGAAAATTTTTAAATGCATTTTTATTTATTAATATTAAATATGATTTATAGACAACAATTTTTCTAGATTGTGGATTTTCATTGTAAATTCATATTCCCAGGACCACAGATGAAGAAATGGATTCATTTTATTTAAATTTTTCATAAATGTATTAAAACTTTAAAATGTATTAAATAAAATAGATATTACAGATTTGTACATCGTGAAAGCTATATGAATGATTAATATCGTATTTTTAATTTCAATTTGCAGTTTAATTTTTAATTTCTAGAGAAATAAGAAGATTGAACAAGTTCAAAGATTAAATTAAGAGAATAAAAAACATTTGAATTAACGAGAAAACTCGAAAAGTTTGAGGAAATTAAAAAGGAAAAAAAAAAGTTAGAGATAGAAATCTGAAATAATTAACCCTTAATTTTCTTATCATTGCGTCATAATTTTATTCTATACTTTATATTTCGCACGATCAAAATTATCACCTTTGAAATATATATTAGAATGCAAATTAAAATTAAATATCCTACATACATGAAATCATGTAATCTAAATTGTTTAACGACATCAAAACAATATATTATTAAACTTAATAAAAGTTTTATTTTTCAATAAAAAAAAATATGATACAATTATTTTTGTACTATTTTCAAAAATAATACAATTTTCCCTTCACTTGCAATTCATTTTTCACGTCAATTTAATCATATTTGTTTAAAAATAAACTTATTAACAATACAAGTAATACAAAAGATAAAACCCTGGGAATAATAAAGATTCAAAAAATCCTAAAAAAATAATGATCCAACGTTAATTCGCCCCTATCTCCTACCCTCTCTACTTATCCATTCCATTGACCCAAAAATCCGAAAATTTATGAAAAATGAACAAGAGTAATCGTTTCACACGATTGCATCTAAATTAGAAAAATCAGGTTTGGAAACGTTAACAATGGCTAATAATCGGCTCGTTGACATCCCGAGACGCTCTTTTCGCTCTAATGGAGGCCCACGAGGATGGGGCAAGCTTTTTAAAATATTCGATACACTGTGTGCACACCGGTGGTTTCCTCGGTTGGCCCTTTCTCTCTCTCTCTTTCCTTTTTTTTTTTCAGGCTAACGAACAATACGTTGCATGCGTGTACGTGTCTCATCCGTATGCGCGTGAACCGTTCGTGTGCCGGTTATTTTGCATCCCTTTGATGTCATCCGCCGGCCAACTTGGCCCGAAAAATACTAGCCGCGGAATCTCGACGCCCCGCTTTAGCAAGTATAATTCCTCGCACGCCACTGCCGCTGTCCCCGATAAATTTATTAAAATGCATCGCCGCCATCCTGTATACGTAAATCATCTTGCGAAAAGTGGCTGTTAAATCATCGATCAACCACCCCTCGTGGACCCCCGATATCGTTGCGGGGTAAATTAGTTTCGCCACGGAACTTTCCGCGTGAAATTTTCGATCATCGAACTTTGAAGGTTTTTCTTCTTCTTCTTCTTCTTCTTTTTTTCTCATTTTTTTTTTTTTTTTTAGGGTTCTAATATTTTATTTCCGCTTTCGTTTTATATTTTTAAATAACTTTTAATAAAGAACTATGATTTTTTTTTATTATGCAAGTTATTTTAAATGGAAAATTTATTTTATGGATTATGGAATTATGGAAGATTAAATTATTATGGAAAATTTAATTTAAATTTAGATATGAAAATCGTTATGGAATTGATTATTGATTATTTATTATGAATTTATTATTATTTTATTATCGAGGGAAAGAGAAAAAGCGAAGAAGGAATTTAATATTAGAATTAATAATTAATATTTAGAACAATAGGTCGTGTTGAATAATTGATAAATTATATTTTAACGTGTTTCACGATTGATCGAATTTCTATTTTCTTATATTTTATATGAAAAAAATATTTTCGTTCTCTCAATCAGGATTAAGAAATTACACATTCAGTCACTTTCATCGATTGTTAATCAATATGAAATTCTAATCGAAAAAGGAGAACAAGTGAAATTAATTAATAGATATAATTACAATTAATTATGGATTTATTTAGTACAATTAATTAAAAATATTACAAATTTATATAGATGAATTTACTTTAAAATTTATCGTTTCTGATGACATGCATTATCATTATTTTTCCTATATTTTTTTTATAATATTCTATATAACTGTAATATCTACTTATTTATTCCTAAAATTCAAATTATTATTATGATATGTCGAAAGTTTATCAATTTCAAAGTTTATCATTATTTCATGATATCTCCTGTCTGCTGTTCATTAAAATCAGAATTATTCGGCTTCGAATCGTCGTGTTTCATAGCAAAAGTAAATAATATTTAAAATTTAACACTTCGTTAAAAAATATAAAATTAAATCGTATTTCTGAAAATATTGTGAAAATATTATTTAACATAACGTTATTCAAAATTTTTTAATTTCTTAGAGTAAACATTTGATCGAATGTAATATTTATTTTATTACACGTTAATTTGAAATTTAATCAGTTATATTTTTTTTTTTATCATTTTTATCAAAATGAAAACTTTTACAATAATCATATTGTCGTTTTACTATAATCAAAGCAACCTGTTGAATCATATTTTTAATTAATACATATTACTTTCGATAAATCTGTTAAAAACTGAAAATTTCGTTAGAAAAATTGCATTTCATCTGGCTCGATATTATCTCCATTGCGATCATGCATACAACTCTTTTATCTAAAATTTCCATACATTTTCAAACGATAATAAATATATTGTAATCATCGAATTATCATACCCCAAACGATAGCACATTTTTGTCCATCCACCCCTTCCATCCCATCCCTCTATGAAAAGACAAATTCACTACTAAAATTTTTCAATTTTACCCTTCAATAAAGCGCCATTTTATATCATTGAACGTATCGAGCGCTCTATCTATCGGGCGCAAACGGAATTAAAGTCATATCTCGTACACCGAGGCATCGAGATTAATCCCCGCTCTAAAGAGAGCAATTCGAAATCGTTCGACCGGCAAAACGACCTTTCCGCCAGGAAGTCAATAGATCCCTGTTCATTATTCCCCGAGACGCTGTTTCTGAACGCGTTTGTTTTTCCTTTCCTCTCCTCTCCTTTCTTCCCTTTTCCTTTCCCTTCTCTCTCTCTCTCTCTCTCTCTCTCTCTCTCTCTCTCTCTCTTTTTGCTTTCAAAAAAAACCACGTTTAGTTTTCCTCCCGTATCGATATCGAAACCGAGTTTCTCGATGATGATACGCATCGATTCCCCGGCCGGTAATATTAAAACACGAGGTGATATAAAACAAGGGAGACGCGAAAAGAGATGAACGGCGTTCCGTTTCCGTTTTTCCCGTTTCCGATTTTCGAGAGATGTACAAACACGCGTAGCGAAAGCGTGGCTGGCGTAAACGATCCATTTGGCTGATTGATCCGCCGCCATATAGATCCATTATGCCGCGAATGAAGATACCGCGTTGTTGGCACGTTTTGAAAAATTATTTATGACCAAGAGAATGTGAGAAACGAGAAGATCGGTAGCCACGAAAGCAAATGGCAAATGGATTTGGTTAACCTCTATTTTGATGATGTTTTGGAGTTTGATTTGACTTGGTTAATAGTAATTTTCAAGATAAATTATTTTTAAATGTAAAAGTTAAATTGTTTCAAAGTAATCTAATTTAATAATGTAATCTATAAATCGATAGAATTTAATTTATAATAAATAAATCATGAATGTATAAATTTATTTTATTTTGCATATTATTTGTATATTGTATATATTTCTTCTAAACGATTTAATTGTTTATCAATTGCATAAAATAAAGATTATTTTATAATCAATTCTTCATTTTAAATATATATATTTGAAATATTACTTTTTATAATATTATTATTATTAAATTATTAAAAGAATTAACTATTCGAAATAGTTTCACGATTATACTTACAAATTTTTAAATATTAACAATTGACTACTCTTCCTCTTTCGTAACTTTTTTTCGTAAGATTTTAATCGACAAACACGAGAAGCAGAGATTAATTCGTTAAATTAATACAATTTGCCAATTCTTGTTCATCTCATAATTAAACCTAAAAAAAAAGAAGAAAAAGAAAAATCAAAAGACAAGGTAAGAATGAAAACGAAAAAAGAAAAAAAAAAAACGTATTAAGACATCAAAGCATTATGCTTCGAGACGATAAGAAACCCAACCCGTAAACCAATTTCCTCGATCCGTGGGTATTACGTGCTCACAAAATTTCGCTCACCCTTGGCCACGCGAAATCGTTAAAAGAACATCAGAAACTGGTTTCGTGCGTGAGTTACTGCGATTCTTCAAACCGTGCCAACGTCGGATACGAATCCCAACTGTGACAGCCACGAAAACGAAATAGCGTTCTAGATTGCAGAAAACGATTAAACGAGTCTTTCAATTGTTGTTAAATTAAAAGAAACATGGATAAAAAAAAAATGATAATAATTGTGAGCATCGAGTTAATCGAGTACCATAATGAAAAAATAACAATTTGATAAAATCGCCGTGAAACGAAGCATTCCTCCTTGTTTTAATTGATTCTAATTCTTCGATCTTGCCACAACAACCAATCAAGAGTTATCGTAACATCTTTGAGCATCTATTCGTTTCGAATGCTCCGACAATCATATTACAGAATCTTCTTCGGCCAACTTCGAGTTAGTCATCGAACAATTGTAAACTAACCCTTATTCTCAGTCATAGAAAACGGAGATCAGCAGAAATTGCATACCTATATAGAAAGTTCAAAGTTGACAGTAAACAACGTAAGTTCTCGCGAAGTTCTGGTAAACTTATAGTCGATATTCAACGACTAGCATTTCATGATAATACATTTACTATTATTGACGTATAATTATATCTTTTTAAATTATTATTGATATAAAATTACGTCTTCTTTTATTTGACAAAAATATACCATTTTGAAAAATCGATTCTATATGCCAAAATAATAATATAAAAATTGATATATAAAAATATCTTAGAAGCTTATTCGTGAAGTTATAACTTTTCTTTTACTTCTACAATCCTTCAAAATTGTCCCACGAATAAATAATTAAAATATAATATTAAAATATATTATTAAAATATATAATATTAAAATATAATATTAAAATATATAGTTATAACTTTTCTTTTACTTCTACAATCCTTCAAAATTGTCCCACGAATAAATAATTAAAATATAATATTAAAATATATTATTAAAATATAATATTAAAATATATTATTAAAATATATATATTAAAATATATTAACATCTTGTATAAATATCTTGAAATATCTAGGAAAAAAGGAAAGAATGAAATTTTGAGACAAAATTATAAAAAATATTCTTTCTATAACATAAATAATCTTCTTAATAACGTGTTAAACGTGTATGACGTGTTAAATTCTATTTTGAGCCCAATTAAATTAGACCGAAAAAGGGCGGGAAAATTAAAAAGAAATAATAATCCGCGCACGCGCAAACGCGCATACGTATATAACCTACACGTATTTCAAGATAGTTTCTCCCTCACCTGCTGCTTTGTGATGTATATCGGCTTGTTCAGGATGATCCACGTGGTGGTCTCGTGGCAGGCTGGCATCGTGATGGAGCCGTCGTACGTCATGTAATATTTCGTGTCTGGTAGCAGTTCCCGCACCACGAAACGTTTAATCTCCATCGCTTGGCCTGCGTGCAATCAGTTCGATCGATAACGTGATGATCCGACAATAACCGTGACGCGCATACGTAGCCCAATTAACATCGATATTTCTCACGCACGCATCACTTATTATTCTTACTTTTATATTTCATGCGATTGAAACGCCGAGAATAAAAGCGTCTCAATCGATTCACCGAGGTAGATAAAGATATAGAAGACACGTTGAGCGTCTCCTTCGATCATTGGGGAATTAAACCATCGAGCAAACTTTATGCCTCGCACACATTTCTAATTGTATAAAAGATATAGGAATATCGAAAAATGAAATCGAAAGTAATTTAATTTTAATATTCTATTGATTTAATTTTTATCTTCATTTCTCTGCTGAGATTAAATTTGATTTAATATATTGCATTGAATTTTTTGATGAACATTGTTTAAGAAGATGATTAGTCGATGTTACGTTCGACTGTTTCATAATGGATAAATATTAATATTCCTTGTGTGCTGAATAATCTGACGCGAATCACTTTCCGTAGACGACACGCAATTCATAATGTCTATCACGGTTATAATATGCTGCTTTGCATGCTGCTTTAAAACATCAATTAATTATCTTACATGTTTATCAAGTAAAGATTATCAAATCTTTTTTAATTAAAACGTATTTCTAAATTAACTAGGTAAATCAAAAACGAAATTTTGTTATGTATGCATGTAACGTATTATGAAATTCACCGAACCGATCTTGGCATCCTTAGCGTAATAAAGGATTGATTAGTTAGAATTTCTGATGTTCCATCCCGCATGTACTGTGATAAAATATTCATTTCTGTTTTGATGGCTAATTTAAAATATTAATTAATTATTGCATGTTTAAACTATTGTTTTGACCTCATGTTATATAAAATACATAAAACGTGTTTTCATTTGGTACATGCGCATTCTAAACAAAGGATTAATTATTAAAAAAATTTTACGTGTTTATTCTGTGATACGTGATCATTTAAAAATTGAAAATAAAATTTAAATAGTATCACTTAAAGCAAATATATACGTGAAATGTATGTATAAAGCACACAAAGAATCAATTGATCATAATTTTATGCAATTATTTTTTCTCGAAATCGAGAATAGAATATCAATTATAACAGTTGTAGCATATAATTGAAATTATCCTTTATAAATGTTTAATTAACAATGAATGAAACGTGCATAAAACGTACGTTTATTGAAATTCGTTTATAGAAATGGTTGATTATTTAAAATTTCAAAATATTTTATACAAATTTACGTTTCCTTCCTGATTTAATTTTTTTCCATTAAAAGCCAATTATAAGAGCTAAAAAATATAAATAAGATGGGCCAAAAAACGTTTCATATAACAAATTTATTTATCCAAATCGATGAAAATCCCCATACGAATTCGATAATCATTTCTCAAATTTCATGTCGAATCAGACAATATCTTTAATTAATTGATACAAAGGAAAATTCTGTATTATTCTTTTTTTTTTTTTTTTTGTTTGATCTGTGTATCTCCGAAAAATACATCTCCTTTCTCTCGGCAATTAAAATTAATTAGTTTGCAATTAAATCCTTCATCGTGGAAAAGGCAACTTATAGCGATTATAGCGAAGAACGATTTCAATTGAAAATTGCGATTACAAAATGGGATTTAATATCTGAAATTGTTTGCCTTAATTACAATTCTTAAGAATTCTTATTTTCTCTTCCTCTTTTTTTTTTTTTTTTTTTTTTTTTTTTTTTTTTTTTTTATTTTTAATCCTTGCACGTTTTGACTTTTTCTCTTTCAATTCAATTATTCTTGTATTACTCTTTCTAAAAAATATAGAATAATTATATTAGGAGATATCAATTATAAAAGAAATTCGTCATGATAGTTATTAATTTTGATAATAGACGTTCCATTGTTCTAATTATGATAAAATATTTTTGTATTCGCACGTTATCCGAATATTTCATATTAATATTTATATTTCAACTGAACTAATCATCACAATTTAGTATAAAGCTAACTAAATTGTAAGGTGTCACAATGGCAACTAAATAGAAATATTTAATTTCCATAATAAAAATACGAAATAAAAATACGAAATAATTAAAGAGTATGAAAATGCAATAAAATTATAAGAAAATAAATGACATTGGCTTACCTAGAATCATAGACACTAATAAACAAAAATATGATATTGAGAGTGGCAGAAAAAGAATAAAGTCAATTTTGTTAATTTCCAGAATAAATAAAATTCGAGATTGTTTTATTATTCAGATATTTCTTTCCTCTGTTATCAAGGATACGAAAGATTCTATTGCAATAAATTATTTTACGAGAGAAATCTATACTTATACGTAGAATTTAATGAAATAATTTATGAGAATCGAAATAGATTTAATTTATTTTATGCACAAGAGAACATTTTCTCTTCCGGAGAAAATTAATAAGAAGAAAAAATAATAAGAAGAGGATTGGATCCGAGTTTCTATTTTTATTAATTTTCAGTTATTGTAGTAATAATAATTTTTAATAAATAAAAATAATTAATGAAATGTAAGAGATTAAAAAATGATTCTCTTGAAGCATGTTTATCTAATTTTGTAAAAGACATTTTAAATCCACTTTTTTTTTATTTTATTAATATATTCCAAGCTGATGTAAAATTACAGAAAGATATAAGAAAATGAAACTATAAATGAATTTAAAAATCTTGTTTCAGAGTTTCTTTTTTTCCTTTATGAAATATAATATTTTATATATGGTTCTTCTTATTATAATTTCTTTTTATTACGTATTCTTTATTTTAAGTGATTAAAATTTATTAATTGTTACACGAGTACGATAGTATTTAAAAAAATTTTAAAAGAACCTTGTGACAATCAAGTTTTATTTTTTGAATAAATTACTTTCTACGAAACTATTAATTTTAAGATAATTAAATAACTCGTATTTGAATTTAATCAAAGAATTAATTAAATCGATCGATTTTACCGGTTATTCCTCAAATGATTTAATCAAATTTCTTTTCACTTTCTTTCGCGAATTATCTCAATAAAGAAAAAAAAAAATAATTGGAGAATTAAATTGAAATATTATTTTACAATATTTATCAATCATTCTTACCAATTAAAAGAAAACGATCGAAATTAAAATCTCGATTCACATTATCCCGAACATAATTTAAAAAAAACTAATTAAATTTATCATATTAATAATTTTAATAAAAATAAGAATATTTATATCAAAATATCGTCGTATTACCACTTAAATACTTGAATTAAAAAAAGAGAAAACCGATTGAAATCTAATTTGATTTACAACCTGATCGAACAACCTTATTTTTACGTTCGAGTTTCCTCCCTTTCAATACTTTATACTCAATGACTGAAGTCCCTTTTATAAAACCTCCACCGTACTCGACGATCAATTTTAAAGGTATTTTAAAAGGAACTTCTCATCTAAATCCCTTTTTAACCATCCAATTAACAGACTATCCGTTAATCAAAACATTATATTAGAAACTATATACACACATATATCTTAAATGTATTCAATCAAGGATACATTTGAGACACACCCAGTATATCGGGAGGAAATTCGATTTCGTGGAGAAATTCGAGTCCGGCTGAATGTATTAAATTACTGTTGATCTCACCTCCATATTTGATTTTATCCAGCTGCTCGGTGAATATTCGAAGCTCTGGATTCGAGAGGTCTCCAACCTGAAAGGTAACCAGCATCGGTTATATCTATCGAGTATCGCTTACTTCGATCGTGTTACGTTCCTCGATCTTTCGCAAAACGAAAGGCGTGGAGAAGCATGAACCATTTTATTAGCCAGATTAATAATACCTGGAGAAGAAGAGACAACGCCACGATCCCCTGTGCCCGTTGTAACGCATCCGAGAAGTTGTTGTAGAGTTGCGAGTTGAAGCCGAATATTTGCAACTGTTTCGAAACAAAAATTAAACGAACGAATTAGTTGTGGTGAATAATAGGAATAAATAAGAAAATATTGATGATGTATTTAATTAACAATTTCAATTGTGAATCGTTGAAATGAATAACTTGAATAACTTTGGAAATGTTTTTCTATTTTTTTTTTTTATGCTACGTCGATTTAGAGTCCTTTAAAGTGTAATTCAAAAAATGAATAGTATAAAAAGTAAATAAAATGGTAAAGTGAGACTTGAGTAAAGTTTTCAAGTAGTTTATGGTATAAATAGTCAGACATAGTAGTAGAAAAGTAAGTAATGGATATTTGAAAGATGAATATTTAAAATATTTTAAAACATCAAAAAGTGAATGGTTTAAGGAACTTTTTAACCAATTTTTAAATACGAATGATCTGATATTTGAGATATAATGAAATTTTAGTGAGTTTAGCTTGAAAAATGGGAAAGATATTGGGAAAAATGATGAAGTTTTTTTTTTTTTTCATCTGTAAATAACACGATAGAATTATTCTATAATTCCATTCGAAAATAACAAAGTAATACATTTAATATGACGAAACTTTCAAGTTAGTTTGAGGCGTGAATAATTTAATCGAGCTTTTGTGTCATTTATAATACAAATTGAATAACAGATTATTACGAGCCACGGGTATCGATTCCTAACTTTCATTAAATCATTTCATTAAAATAATAAAATAAAATGATAAAGTGCTCAAATATTTAAATCCTCAAAGGAATATTCAGCTTAATAGATGATGCGTATAACTCTGTCAGATTAAATAGTAAAAGCTGTCTTTAAGAGGATCCATTCTACTTAAATCTGAAATCGTTAACTGCTGATGAATTTCTAACGAGAAAATGATCGTATTAATAAAAGTCAGTGAAAAGTTTTCAAACACCAAGTTTTCATCAACACGTCCATCAATAATTTTTAAATAAATCTACCAAGATTTCGCTTTTATCTTCTCGAATAGAATTATATATATATATGTTACACGTTTTATATTACGTTAATTAATTAATAAAAAAAAAAACTACTTCTTTTAAAATTAATAAGAAAACTAAGAAAATTCAAAAAACGATTCTGACATTTTTCAAATATCTCCATTTCCATGCATCGAAATTCAAAACCATTCATTGTTGCGTTTTATAAAATTTTATTTCGTATCTAATCGCTCTAAAAAAAAAGTACAAATAATACCTCGATTCACGGTTATCACGAATTTTCCCCCCCAATAAATATTATACTCTTTCCGGGATTATCGATCCCGACTTTTTGAAACGTTCGATACATTTTTTATTCGTTCCTTGCTACAAGGGACATTCTTCATAACAAAAACAAATTTTATCGTTTCGACAATTGATCTCGCCCGGTTGCCTCGAGCAACGTTTCGAAACGTTTTTTCCGCCCGCGAAATAACAATAAAACTTTTCGAAAAATTCTCTCGATGTACGATTTTTCAACAAATTTCCAAATATATAATAAAAAAAAGAAATAATAATAATAATAATAATTCCCGCGACCCGATAACAAGGCCAAATTTTCGCGCGCAAAAATAAAAATAACAACAATAATAATAATAATAACAAAAAGAAAGAAAGAAATTCGGAAAAGGAGCACGCGAGGCATCACGCGAATAAAACCCGTATATATTGGGAAAGTTTCATAATTTTTTCAAATTCCGTGTCGGCCAACTTTTCCCCGTCGATGTAGCGGACTGGCAAACTGTTAAAAGCTATACGTTTTCGCGGGTTGCACGTATATCGCGATTGTATACTGGTAACCCAGTTCCCTAGTTCTGACCCAGTTCGAAGATTAATACTTCGAACGAGGAACGGGAGTGAAAAAAAAAAAGAGAGAAGAGAGAGAGAGAGAGAGAGAGACGAAAAGAAAGAAAGAGAAGGAGGAGAGGGGGAAAAAAAAAAAGAAAAAAATAGAAGACGTGCTTTCACGTTAATCAGTTTCAGTTACGTGATCAAGTGAATAAAAGTCGTTCGTAATCGACGAGTATAAGAATCTGGATAGACGGTTCGGATACGTATCGCGGATGATCGATAATCGGATGTCTGGTGGGGCTAGGCCTTCGATAGAAACTGATAGCCTCGGCCACTCGATCCATGGATTACCGAAGTTAAGTTGGATAGAGCGAAGTAGTTAACGTCGGTTCGAATTTTTCAAGGCAACATTCGTTCCCTTCTTTTATTCCCGTGTTGTTTTCTATCTCTTCGAAATTGAATCGCTCTACTGTTTATATACTAATAAAATTGTTGTGCGCTAAAATATATACGCGTGTGTGTGTGTGTGTGTGTGTGTGTAAAAAATTTTTTATCGCTAAAAAATTGGAGAAAGTATATTTTTGAAAAATATAGAGATAAATACGGATTTAACTACTTGGGATCTTTGTTATGTGGGAGATTTTTCACGGGAGCTTTTGTTATTATACGATTTCATGAATAATGTGTGATAATATGTATTTTAATATTTGGATTTTTTCTTATTAATTTTTATCCATTTTATTTTATTAGCTCTTTTAAAAATTAGTTATTTTTCCATTTGTATTATTTCTATTTCTGAATCTTTTACGTTTTTTTTTTTTTTTTTTTTTTTTTACTACAAGATTCGTTAATGAAACGAAATTAAAAAAAGAAAAAAAAAATAAATATCGAAATATTTTATACCTCGTAAAATCATAGAAATCGTAGAAATTTTGCATTAGTAATTACAACGTAGTATTGGCGTTTATCGCTTGCATTATTAAATTATTGACGTAACTCATCCACTATTAATGATAATAATAATAATAATAATAATAATAATAATAATAATAATGAATTGATGGTCTCATTAACCGTAACAAAATTCATAAATTATATCTCTGTACAGGATTAGTGAACTTCATTATATGGCATACCATGAAGAGATTCGAATTAGAATTTGAATTTAAATTTAAAATATAATGCAAATTCTATTTAAAACTCGAAAACACGAATAATTAGTAATGTGCCGGCACTATCGCTACATCATCAATATATATCATTATCCCATTCAGTCTATGTCCTGTTCATGCTATTTGCCATGTTACGTCTAATCCAATTAGATGTGACAGTTCTAATCAATAACGAAAATTCACGTACATTATCGATTATGTCAGAGGGGGAAAACTTGGCGTATTAATTATGATAGCCCAATTTCTTACCTATCAATTATTTTTAATTAACAATTTATTAAATTATCCGTTGTACAATAACAAATATTCATTGCATAATTCCAAAAAAAGTTATATTAACTCCTTAAGATTCAAAGAAGAGGAATCTTAGTAGCGCAAAAAGTAGTACAACCAAATCATGTCTCAGGCGTCTTCTATCGTTAAAGAAAGAATTTCTAAGATTTTAACGAGATACGAAAAAAATTTTATTTTATTCTGGAAAAAGAAAAAGATTGTAAAAGAAACATGATAAGATATTCGAAATCGAATCGATTGGATGTACGATCGTAAAAATCGGTCATGAAAATTGAAAAATATTTTTTCAAAAAGAATTTAAAACAACAATTAGACAATTCGACAAATTGTTCCCCTTTCGTGATACATTTAAAACGAAAATTTAGCACACAGAGGACAAATTTAAAAAAAAAAAATAAATATTTCTACTAATTTTTCTTCGCGCAACTCAAATCGAAACACGATCAACAAACACACGTACGATACAAACGTCGTTGTATGATCGCTAATCGCATCGCAACCGTTGCTATGACAACTTTATCTTATCTTATCTCACTACAATATTTCATACATTGATATTAAATAAAATTTTACGCACTCACCTCCGCGGGAAACGCGTGTCCGTCCACGGTGTGCTCGCTACCGGTCCGATCATCCAACCCAAAATGCAAATGTATTTCGTGGAACTGATACCGATAACTCAACGGGCCACCAGATATGTTGACCGGATGGCGCGTGTCATTGTCCACGGCGAAAACTACGCTGTGGCCAGTGTTCGCCAGCACACCACCTACCCTGTGCTTGTCCACGTGAAGGGGTTGCAGGTTCGGGTCGAAGAGGAGCCTGGACGGTTCCAGGTTCACCGGCGATTGACGTCTGCCCTTGTGGCACAGCCACCAATCCGGATTGATGAGACCCCAGAACCCGGGACCTTCGAATCGATTAAACGACACGTCGAACGCGATTTTCGAGCATCGATTACGCGACTTTAATCGGGAAGAATTCCGAAAATACTTAATTTAATAGCTACAGATAAAGGTCGAGGAAGAGTGAAATTATTTGTTGAGGAGAGTTTTCTTTGGAGAGGGTGGTGTGGAATCGGTGAAAAATTGGATGTGTTTGGAAACATTGGAGGGAAGATAATTCGTATATATGGAACGAGTTGGTCAATATTTATGAGAAGAAATATGTGATTCGTCATGTTTTGGGCAAGTATCTAGATATCTTCATAGTGTCTTTTGTTCGAAAATATTGAAAGATACGTAACTCTCTCTATAAAATAAGTGGATGGGGAAAAAAATAGGAGAGAAAAATAATACAGAATCTTGCGGATAGATAATTATATTAATTACTGTATTCGACAAAAGAATTCCTGTATTTGGAAACTAGAACTTTTAATTTCCAAACTTGTACGAAAAATATTCTTTTGTTCAACAGATCGAAACGAAAAATAATCTAAATGAAACGATCATTTACAAATTTTGAAATAAGAAAGAAACACGTTAAATATTTATTATTTAAAAATGAAATAACTTTACGAACTGTGAATGAACATGAATGGGTGGAGAAAGAATGTTTAAAAAGTGATAAATGATTCACGAAAAGAGGACGATTGATAGAACAAGGAAACAGGAAACTAATCTTTCGATTAATTGACACGAGTATGGAATCCCTTACCGGAAATACCGTCATAGGTCCACCATTCCTCCCAGCTGACGGGCCTAGATTCTGCAAATAGTTCATTATCAAGAATCCGCACGATGTCACTTATGCGACAGCAGTCCTTAACCTAGAACTAGTTGCAGCGAGTCGAGTGGCAAGGATATTCGGCCACACTCCACCGAATAACGAGCCACTCGTCTCAATTATACACTTTCTTGCTATAGTCTGTCTCGAGTCAATTGTCCGCTTCAAGGTCACTTCAACAACGGCTCTCTTTAACTATTTCTTCTTTTTTTTCTCTCTCTCTCTCTTTAAGCTTGCTATCACAGTTCTCAGACATGTTTTCCATACGAAGTATACGTCTAGGAACTTCGTCCCGATGGAAATCAGCTAAAAATACAAGGAGACGGATCAAGGATAGAATTAACAAAGGAAAGAAGGAATTTTTGAAATTTTCCATTTCCCTTATTTCCTGTTTTTCCAACAACGATTATTTTTGTGCAAATCAAACGACCAAGATCGCCATAGATTTTTTTCAATTATCTTCGACCTTGAGACGTCAATTAACGCCAACTATAGCATTCGTTATATAATTGAATCGACACGTGTTCGTATCGATTTAAACGGGAGACCAAAGCACGATAAAATTCCGTGTCGTACGTATTAATTATTAAAATTATTCACCGATGGATTCGTTCTCGATCTCGAAGAAAGAAAGATCGAGGTTAAGAACTACTTTGGACGCAAGAGTGAAAAAAAAAAAAATACACACGATGACCCTTGGTGTACCTTGTATAAGGACGATCACGAACACTCCCCAGACGCCCAGGAAGACGGAACTGAATGGGGCCATTCCTAGGACTGCGCGGTCTTCGTCAATTGGGCATCATTCGGCTCGATTCTGCGGGGCAAAAGAGAGAGGGGACACGATACCGGTCGATCGTCAACAAATTATGTACAATTATCGCACGAATCGTTCCTCCCACGTGATCTCAACCTCTGTTTCTATCATATCTCTTGACCCTCGAGAATCGTGGAAGATCGATCGAAAGCGAGACGAGACGACTCCACTCGAAACGAAAGCAACGAACTTTCCGTTGGGGGAGGAGAAGGTATCCTGTCCCTCGACTAGGAACGATAAGAACGAGACCACGATTCGATCGATCCGACCGAAACGGGGATGTCTTTGGACTTTTAATTAGCCATCGTCACGCGACCGATTCGAGAAAGCCGGCCTAACGACGAGGGGAGGGGGCGCGTGTCGTGGGCGATAAGAGGTCGCGAGGTTCCACGAGACGAGAAAGAAAAGACAAATCTGCAGTCATCGTCGTTGTCGCGTGGCAGGGGGGAAGAGGATGCTCGAAAGGGGATCGTGAGATTCTCTCACTCGAATATCTTCCCTCCCCCCACTCCGGTGGCCCATTCTGTGTTAGAGCCCACTCCACCCCGTTCCAACGCCACTCTACACCAGGCCTGTGTTCTTAGGTCAGGAAAACTCGAGTAGAAAGCTCCCTTCGAAAGTCGTCGATCGATCGATTCGATCTCACTCTCCTCCCCGATCCACGACGAGTGTCTCTAACCTACAACCAGAACTTCCACCAGCCGGAAAGATAAGAGGCACTCGGCAAGTGCGATGACTCGGCTCTCATTGGGATATGCCTCTCGTTTTTCTTTCCCCTTTACCGGGGAACATCCGGCCAAACCGTCGTTTCCTTCCACGATTATGATCGATGCTCGTCAAAATGTTTCGTTTTCTACATTATCGATCGATACGTTTCACAGGTGAAACACCTTTTGCCATGGGTTATAATCTCTGGTATATTCCTCTCTCCGTCTCGCTGGAATTAATTTTTTCTTCTCTCTCTCTCTCTCTCTCTCTCTCTCTCTCTCTCTCTCTCTCTCTCTCTCTCTCTCTCTCTCTCTCTCTCTCCCGTTTGAATATTCCTACTATCTCGAGCGATACTTGTAAATAATGCTCCTATTTCCACCTCTGCTCGTGGGGTAGTATAGTTTGAACGGGCAATCGATGCGTTCGTCGAGCATCGCTGTACCTCATCTGCACTTGTTATTCCATCGTTTGTTGGAATTTTTATAACCTCTACGAGATTCGGTATCTACTGGGAGTCGCATTAGCGAGGGCGTACGCGACCAAACGTTACTTGCTGCAACTCTTTGCCGGAGGGCCATGTAAAGTAATGGATATCCGTGCACCAAGCGTCTTTGACGTTATGTTTCGTGGATAGAATCAAAGCGTGCACATTTTTTATGCGACTCTTCGTAGAACGTAAGTGTCCAGATGTGCTCATAAATATTATTTTGTATTGTGTTCAAGAGGATAATTTTATCGATGTCTCTTCCCTTATTTTTAATATATTAAAATAATCCGAGTAGAATAATGCTTGTTCAGTATCCGCTAAATTAGTACGATTTATCGATCTATCGATTTTCAAATCAAAGAGAACGTTTATGTTTTATCTTGTTCATTGAATTAGAATTATATTTAAATATTTCTCGAATAAGGTATTCATGAATATTTAAAACTGTAGTTTGATTTAATTTCTCGATTCTAAATTTTCCTAATTCGAGCAACGTTAAAATTTAATAATAAAATAACAATTTAATTATTCTCGATTCTTTGAAACGTTAAAATTTATTCTTCAATAAATCATTCGTGCATTTTTTCTAATTACTTGTTCTTATACACGTGTTTTTCTTCTTTTAAAAAATCTCAAAATTATATTCATATCATCTTATAATTGAGTGAAGCTTAGGATATATCTATAATGTATTCGTTTTAAATGCTAAATATTTTTTCTTTTCTTTCAGGTATCCATACTCGAGATGAAATACAATATTTTTTTCAAAACCGACTGGAATTTTGCATTAACGGATCGTCGAAAAACGTTCTCACTAAACTCGTAAAATGAGTCTTTGATGTTAGGTATCCAAGTGGGTAAACAACATGTCAGGTTTCTGTAATAATGGAGAAGGTATAGAAGACACTGTGTTTTATGGATTAGTGTTAACTTTCATTTTAGATTTATATCGCCACCACATTCTCATTTTATCCGTTTATCTCTCCTTATTTTGTTTTCTCTCAAAATATCTTTCTTTAAATGTACATATTTTTTGAAGACACTTTCTTTTTATTAACTTTTTTCAAATACACTTTTTTCAAAATATATGAAAAATATTATATTTAGGATTTTCTTCTGGACCTCTTTCATTGAGAATTGGTCAAATATAATCGTGATAAAGATCACTAATATAGAAGATATTGAATTATATAAATTGAAGATAGTTAACAAGGCATTACTGCATCGAGTATTTCCTGAAGTTTGTAGACTCATAAAATTATCACAGTATATATATATATCCTCTGAGAGTATCATACCAGCTACTGAAGATAGTACTCCAAACTTTAAATTTTATTATATATAATATAATCATTAAAAGTATCGAATGAAAAGTTGAAAGTATATATTCCATTTAATACTAAAAGAGAAAATCTTTTAAGGAAGAAAAAATAATTATTCTTTAAAATTTTTCTCCTTTCTCAATTTTCGTTTTTATCATATCATGGAAAGAAATGAAATGAATATCATGTGACCTCGAAGAAATAGCGAATATAATAAATAATCATTTAATGAGATATTATATGAATTAGTATGATAATAGTCAAAATTCTAAAAATTATTAAAAGCTATATACATATTCAAACAGAATATTTGTAATGTCATAATATTACATATATCTTATAGAATATTTATAGAATATTTAGTTACCAGTTTGAAGATGAGCGAAATAGAACATCTGTTTCGACCAACGACCATTAGTCGTTTATGAATAAAGTAGGATTACGAATACTACATTCCTTCAGGATAAACGACACAGATAAACGATACAGCAAAGTCATCATATCAATTAGTTTAAATAATCACGTTTCGTTGATGATGAAACACGAACAAACAAAAATTTATAACTTTGATTAAATTTTTAAATAAATATATTTAATTGAAACGAAATTTAATATTCGTACTCTAACTTTCCTTTTTTCGTTTTTAATTTTTTTTTTTTTTTTTTAAATTACAATTGCTATTCACTATATTTTATTTTATTTCATTCCATCACGTTTATCTATCGTTGACCAATTTTTAAAATTCGATCAAGTACGAAAGAAAATCTTTATTATCCCGTTCTTCAATATTTCTTTAATTTCGTATGAAAGTTTTTTCTTAACATCTTTTCTACTTAAAACATAATTAATTATAAATTATTAATCATTTATTTCATCGATTCTAAAACAAAACACGAATAACCCAAAAAATAAGACAATAATACCTCTATATAATAATTATTCAATACCGTTAATTTACAATCTCGCTACAATCAATATTACGCGTTAACATATCGAATATCAAATTTTGTTTAAATAAATTAATCGTAACTCGACTACACGTTCCTATACCTTTTGACAAATCTCGTATCGGAAATGAATCAAGCGGAACGAAACAGGGATTGGGATTCGAGCGTCTCTTGCTTCATCTTTAATTAGACCCTATCGGATCACGACTGATCCCGTTGGATTTATTACAAAGACCCTATGATAGTCGACGGAGTTTAATCGAGCGAGCCTCTCCTCTCGTTCGATTGCGCCTCTCCAACACAATTATCAACTCTATGGATTTTTGTGGTGCCTCGTTGGGAGCTCGATTCACGCTCGAAATGCTACCACCACCGGCTTTAATTCGTTGGGGATACCCGTTATCCGAAGAGCGCAGAGAAAGAGAGAGAGAGAAAGAGAGAAAAAAAACACTGAAGACCCTTTTTAACCCGTGTGTCTGAAGAGTAGCGGCTGAAACGGGTCCCGCTTGAGACAACGAAAGGGAACAATTAGCCAAGTCTTACCCCAAGCTTGAGTGCAACGACTCGACGACTCACGAGTTTAGGCTCCTCCGATCCTTACGTCCTCTCGTCCTCATAGATATACCGCGTCCAGATCAATCCTTTGTCCTTCCTCTAACTCTTGGAAAATGGCCAACAGAGAAGGAATAAGCACGTATGAGAAGGATGAATCGAGTATATCACTGTATATCGTGACCGTGCATCGTACACATTATCCGTGCACACACTCGCGAAAATGTACATATATATATATACATATATATATACATATATATATACATACGTATGTACATGTACAGGTAGTTCGAGTATCCTGTCCGGTCGAACGATCGATCGTGGGGTCGTGGTTTAGATCGAGACGATCCCTGGTTCAGGGCACGGGTCGCGGCCGATTGACGCGGCTGACGTCACGGGTACCGATTCACGACTCTCGAGGGTAACGGAGAAAGATCACGAGCAAACGAAGAAACGATGGAAAAGCGTGGACGAGGAGGCCCGTAGGGAAGACAGAGGCGAGCGTATAGGGTGGCGAGCAAGCGAGCGAGCGAGCGAGCGAGCGAGCGAGACTTGGTGGGAGGACGAGCGTGCGAATCGATCGGCAAAACGCGCGATGGTGCGGCCAAAAATTTCGCGTGACGAGTAAACGCAGAGGCTACGAGCACCTCCTGGCTGAAATCAATAAACGCCGATCAGGACCACCGTGTCGGAAAGATCTCCTTCCGAAGCACACGCGACGCGGAGAGGATACCTCCTTCCTCGCGATGGATCCCTCTCCCAAAACACTCTCCTCCAGGATTAACTTTGCTCGGAGAACTTGGTTCCCCTCCGATTGTATACAGATAACGTAAAAAATCGTATGGGAAAAGGAAAGTTCCAACTTGCTCCTTCGGGCCGATACTGACCCCGTGCACGACGACGAAAAGGACGAGCCTCGTCTCGTAGCTTCCTCCGCCTTTCTTCCGCCTGCTCCTCTCGTCTAGCCACCGGCACCACCACTTTGCACTGCTGGTACGAGGGAGCAGCGACACCGTGATATACGCGACCGATAATATACTGCAACGAGCGAAAGACACCGGTTTTACGTATACCGTTGAACGATATGATACGGTATAATATGGTCGTAGGGGACAGTTTCGCGATCTTTTCTTCCTTCTTTTATATCTCCTTGTCGCGCAAAATAATTTTATTAAAAGCGGTCTGCGCCTTTGCGAAGGAACGACGAAGGAGGAACGACTGCCCTACGAGACCAGTGTATACGTTCCTCCTTCTCCCTCCTCTCTCCACCCCTTCTCGCGCTCCCACCCGATCCGTACTCCATCTAGATCTCTCGTCGGCCGTTCCGGAGGCTGGTGGCGCGCATGCGCGGCCGCGTTATCCTTTTCTCTCGCTCTCACCCACCCGCATCGCGCGCGGCCGTACAGGGAATGAGGCTAGTTTCCACCATCGCTCCATCCCACTCTGGCAGGCTCTCCTCGTGCGACGTTCAGGCCACATCGATGCTTCCGGACACGGGGGAACGAGCGTTTCGCGCCTCCACTGTTCTTCCACTCGGCCATCCTCGTCGGCGTGCGAGGACGTCTGCGCACTTTATCGGGCTAGGACGAGGCGAGGATGGAAGCCTCCTTCGGGATCTGGCGCACCTGTGTGCCCTTTGCCCGCGACCTACTCGCGATTTTTCTACCCTTCCCTAATCCGAATTTGTTAAATTGGTTAAATCGGTCGATTATCACTAGAATTAATATTCAAAGTGAAAGAAAATATTTAAATTAAAGTTAGAATGTTTTTTCTTCTTTTTATTTTAATTTTTTTTTTTTTTTTTTTTTTTTTACGTGGAAATAAGTTATTAAATTGACCAATTGATAATTAATATATTGTAGATTGTAGGTTAAATTATATTACAATTTTACGGGATATTATACAGGACAATTAGATA